ATTGTAGAGATGAGGTCTCGCCAAGTTGCCCAGGCGGGTCTCGAACCCGTGGGCTCAGACGGTAAAAGTGTTTTCAATGCAGGGATACTGTCTTCTAACTATCCACCCCTTCATCTGACCTTTTATCATCACCATGGAATACCTCCTCTGAACAGGAAGCAAAGGCACCTGCACTTGAATGTAACTAACTGAAGAAAGTATCTGACACTGCCTGTCCCAGGCTTCTACAGGGGGACTGCAGCTCTCACTGTGGATCAGACACTGCCTCACTGTACGAATGGCAGCATCTTTCCATGAATACCATGCTAAATTAAAACATCGTGGAACAACAAGAACAAAGGAATATAATTTCAAACTGAATTGCTATGTTGTCTAGGTCGGTATCTACCTTAAAACATCAGACGTGGTTTTGGAGTCAAGAGGATGTGGGACCCGCTGAGAGCTCCTGGCAGGGAGAAGTTCGTCCATCTGTGCTACTGAAATGTGGTGATGCAGTGAAGCCTGGCGAGAAAAGAGAGAGAGTCACTTCCTTGGTCTAGATTAGCACAGTGCAGGATGGGGTAGGCTGTGTCTGCTAGAGCTGATGCTCCAGAAAATCCTTAGAGTCACGGTTTCTATGAGTCTACAAATTTTAAGTTGCTCAGTAACCCCTAATGTAATCCCAAATAACTTCATAACCTACAGTTGGAAAAAAACCAAAACCAGGCTTTAGGGACCTATTTTTCTTTTTTTGGCCACAACATTTTGTTTCTTTAATGGAAATAGTCTAGCACACACAAAAGTAGTATAATATATGATAAGGTCCCATGAATTCATATCACCAAGATGAAATAGTTACCAATATTCAACACTTTTTTGTTTTATTTTTCTGAAGTATTTTAAAAGAAAAATTCAAATACTGTATTATTTTTTCTGCAAATAATTCAGTATCTTTAATAGATAAGGCCCTTTAATAATAGTAATTATTATACACAATAAAACTTAACAGTGATTCTTTAATATCATGTAATACCCAATCTATGTACAATCTTCCATGATTATCTCAAAAGTGTCTTTTTACATTTTGTTTACCAAAATCATGAGCCAACCAGATACATACATTGTAAGTGATTAAATGATGTGCTTCTTAAGGACTTAATCTGTGGCAGGACTCACAATCTAGATGTGGCTGATTTATATCCTTGCAGTAGTGTTTTAACATATTCTTCTATTCTCCAGATTTCCCATAAGTTGACAGATCTAGAGGCCTAATTAAGTTAAGATTCCACTGAAGGGCTGAGGGGGGTACAAGAGTATTTCATAGCTGGTGATGTATTCCTCTTAGTGCAGAACATCAAAGGACACCTAATGTCTGCTGTCCCACTTGAAGTAATATGATTCAGCTGGCACCAGTATACTACATCCATTATGAAGTTCCCTGATCAATTTTTCACCTAATGGTTTTAGCATAGTTTATTTTATTAAATAACTAAACATAATATGTAAAGGAGAGGCAATGTAGAAATGCTTGATTCTTTCTCTGTATTTTTCAATTTTCAGATTAATAAACTGCTGCTCTAGCAGTTTCAAAAGATGGCTAAATTTATCTTGTTTTTCAGCAAAATTATGAATCCAAGGATTTATTTCAATCTATTGCTATCATCATTCTTTTTGATGATCAACTTGTCTCATCCCTAGCCAACAGGGCTACCCTCCAAGATGGATCTTGAGATCTTTGATATGACTTTAATGATCTTTGGTAACTCTTTTGTTTTTAGGTGTGACAAGATGTCCCAGCTTCATTTTGACTATTTCTTGCTTCAGACCTGAAATCAGTCATTTCTTCAAAGAACTCTAGTTGTTCTTTTGAATGATCAGTGGCATTTAGGAACCAAAATCATGGCAATAGAAGTGTTTACTGCTGCTAAGCCTTTTTAGTAGACAGAGCTAAAAAAAAATAAGTATATTTCTTCGAGAGAAAAAATAAATAAATCCAGGTTTATGCTGATACTTTTAATTAAAAATAAATACATGCATTTTTATTTAACTTCTTTGATCTTGTAATTCTGTTAAATCATTAGAGTCAACTAAAAATAAAATCCTAAGCCCCCCACCAAATGAATGGACCTCCTCTTGGCCAAGGAGACCCCAGAAAAACCTTAAAAACTTAGTTTCCAGTCATGATGGGATGGGAGGTCAGACACATCTCATTATACCTCTTCCCTTTTATGGTTCAAACATAATAACTGACCAACATTAACATTAAAACAGACATCATAAGACTGATAAGATAGACTCGCAGTGGCAGTAAGATACCAAATTATACACAAGGCTTAAGGTCATGCCAGGTAAGGGTTAAGTCACATACTCCCTATACTTTAAGTGTAAACTATGTTCTAACTGCCCCAGGTTTTTCTTTTTCTCTAGTAGCGAAACAAGCACTGACCCTGGAGATAAGCAATATTAAAACAATTTGCAGCTCCACCAGATGCTGACTAAATGACCCCAGCCTTAACTACAGCTTTGAATGGACAAGAGACTGACTTCATTCACTTTCTTCTGATAAGAAGACCACCAACCATGGACTAGTTCTGGTCAGTTTACAGAGATTACACACATGTGCCTTCATGTCCTGAAAAGACCTTTTGATGTACAGAGTCTAACTTTAATATATTTAAATGTTAAGTCTCCACCCCAAAGTGAACATGAATTTGTTACATGAATGTTTGTTCAGTGCACATGTGTCAGGAACACCTTCATGAATATCCATAGCTCCTTCTGTAACCTGCTGAATATGTATGTTTAACCAACTCATTCAGCATAAAGCTCCTACTCCAACCCTTCCCTCTTAGAAATGCCTGTCTGGTCTTGGCTGAAGGCATGCTTCCCAGCTTTCAGGTGGAATAGCTACCTTGCAGGCTGTAACTCTTTATAAGAAATAAAGTTTTTTTCCTTTTCTAAATTTATAAATTGTATTTTTTTAAAGTTAACATTAGAAAAACAAAATTGCTTCATCTTGTAAGTTTTTGGTTTAACTTTCCATTGTTTCTTTTTGAAAATGTAAGCAGATATGTCCATGTAAATATATATATGCATGCACTTCTCATAGATTACTCCATGGTAATCTATACTTCACAAAATGATTATATAGAGATATTCCTTGTTCTCTTATGAATAACTAAATACTTCACCATCTGGATGTACCACAGCTGATTCAATGAGTCTCTGACTGATGGACATTTAGGCTTTTTCTAGTCTTTTACATGTCATTTGTTTGTTTTTGCCAAAGTATCTTTAGAATATTCCTTAGAGGTGGGACTGCTGCACCAAAAGGATAATTAATGAATAGGGTTGTATCATTCAGTATTCCCTCCAACACCAGGGCCTTTCCCCCACATCCCTGCCAACAGAGTACACTGTCAAACCTTTAGTTTTTGGGGGGTTTTTTTGCCAATCTGTGGGCAAGAAATGGATTTCATTATATGGTCTTTAATAAAAACCACAAATAGAGGATCTTTTGCTTTTAATCCTTAAAATCTGTAATAAAAAGTTCTAAGAAATATAAAGGAAGAAGCAAGTATAAATGTGGGAAGTTTTTAGTTGACTCTTACCCATCTCTAAGGAAGAATGCTGATAGTTCATGGCAGGGGAAAAACAGCGCAGCTAGTTACACCTTCCATTCAGGCTTAACTTTACCAACAATGATATGATATAGTCTTGGAGAAACATGTGTCCATCCTAGATTTACCCTTTGAGCCCCACAAACTCTCCCCCTGGGCTAAAGCAATTCATTTCCTTGTGACATGGTTTTGGGTTCTTCTCATAAATTCTACTCTGCCCCTACAAGTGAAATTAAAATATTCTCAGAGTATAAGTAGATATGAGAGAAACAGGCAAAAGAATAAGACAATGGTGGCTAGGGCTGAAATTTCTAACCAAAATTAAATTTAAGCATAAATCACTCATTTCTTGCAAACTTCAAATATGACTCCAAACCAACCTTCAGGAAAAGAGGGCACTGGTTTTGAGCCTGGGGACACGATGACCAAAACCACTGGGGGAGATTCTCAGCTTTGGCAGTTGATACAAAATACCCAAGGGCCAAAGGTTGCTGCTTTAGCTCCTCTGGTGCTTCTCTAGAAAGAAGGCGCTCACCCTGGCTCTGAAAAACAAAATCCCAAAAGCATGGTCAGCACTTATCATAAAGCTTTAAAAAAGAACTTTCACTCTACACACTGCAGTAACTAATCTTCTTTGTGAAGCAGCATCTCAAAGGAAAACACCAGGTGACTGAAAAAGGTAAACAGGGAAGGAATCGTTCTTGCTGCACACACAGACATCTGATAAAACCACAGCTCAGGCAGAAGACACTAGCAAAACATCAGTCAAGCATGTGCAGATTTATTTGCTCTGGTTTCTTTTCTACAGAATGTAAAATCTGTTCCATGGCATTATTATGTAACAAACTAAAATGAAAAGACTGTGTATCTCTGACACAGCTGAAGGTTCTACCACACCCATGTGCCCTTTCACCAGCAACCAACCAAAAACACAAGTGCACCTGCCTGACCACGGTCCACAAGCACTGCTCAGGAAGACGTGACACCAGTGCATGTACAGCAGCAGTGTTACTGACTTGCCCACAATATGGGACTTGCTCATGAGGAAGCCATGTTTTCATGTGCAGCAATCCCCTTACTAAAAGACTCCTGAAGAGGCTCACTAGGCTTGTCTGCAACTAACATTCTTCCTCAACTTCAATTCTCTCACCTAGCTTCAAGAATTGAAGATGTACCTTTTATGCAAGCAGCAAGTAGTCCATTTGTTTTCAAAAGCCTTCTGCTTAGGAGAAAGAAAATAATCCTCAACTACTACATTCAACAGTATCAATTCTGAGTTGATTAAAAGATAAAAACTCGCTGCTACCTTGAACACATTCTTTTCCCTGCTGTAATGTCTTAACAGGATATCAAAGAGTGCTTAATGGTTCAGATAAAGGAAATGCTAAAAGTCTCCTGGAGGTCCCCCAGCTGCAGGTGCTCAGGATTGAAAAAGGCCACCTGACTAGCTTCAGAACAGGATTGTTTAAATTGTGACACTCAATAAGAGATTTTGGTGCTTGAGGCTCCAACATAAGGGAGGAAATAAGAGCATCTCTGTTTTTCATAAAACTAACATTATGCTTCAATTACCACCCTGTGTTAACGGATAAACTAAATTAAAGCAACAGGCACTAGGAGGAGTTGCTATTACTCATTTTACAGATAAGATAACTAAGGCTAAGACAGGTGAAGGTGGCTCGACCCAGGTCACAAGTCTAATAGCCCTAGAACTGCAACTCAGGGCTGTTTTTCTCAGACTCCTGGGCCGATATTCTTAGTTGCTAAACTACTTGCTTCCAGAATTAAAATTAATCATGATTTAAAACTATCCAATGTAAAATTTGTAGTTTTGGTTCCTACTACAACCATTGCCAATGAACAAATAAATTGTCATTAACTGACAAATAACTGTAAAGGAAATGAAGACATTTAAAATCTCTTCCTTCTAGAAGGAGGTGATGGGGCAAGGTAATAGCATGGGGGTCAGTCTGAGTTGCCCTGCCCTGTATCTCCTGCTCTGTGGCTAAACTAAGCCTTATGTTTCCTTTCTCTTGATAGTCCTTCAGTGAAGTCAATGCTGGCAATAAAAGTTCCACTCTATGGAAACCTAAGTCCTTTACATCCATCTTTGTGTCTAAATGAGTGTGAGCAAGGTTGCTCATACTTGTTAAGTCTAAGATATTAGACACTGCTATATTTCTAAGTCTTAACCCCTTAAGTTCACATTTTAAATATAAAGTGCAAGACAGTGATGTGGCATATATCTTTTAGCTGTGAAAGTTACCCCAAGCTATTAAGAGTTAAGTTTTTTGGTCTTCTTTTTTTTTGAGTTGGAGTCTCACTCCGTTGCCAAGGCTGGAATACAGTGGCACACTCATGGCCACTCTAGCGTCAAACTACTGGGCTCCAGCAATCCTTCTGCCTCAGCCTTCCAAGTAGCCAGAACTACAGGTGCACATTACCAGGCCCGGCTAATTTTTTTATTTATCGTAGAGATGAGGTCTCGCCAAGTTGCCCAGGCTGGTCTCAAACGCATGGGCTCAGGCAATCCACTCACCTTGGCCTCACAAAGTGCTGGGATTACAGGCTGAGCCACCAAGCTCGGCCTAGGAGTTAAGTTTTTAACTTTTAAATCTTCTGCTAATTTGGCTCCAAAATCCATGGGATATTTAAAGATGAAACAAGTTGCAAGCTCTGTTTGTTTGTTTTTTCCCTTAATATTCTGGCATTAACCTGGACATGTCTGTAAAATCAGCCTCCTGACAGCTCTTGCCATTCTTTCAGACTGGCTACAGAGAACAGAACCACAACAGGACATGAATAGTACAGTCAGGCTCCTTGCAGAACAAGCAACCACTTCAATTAACACAGTTACTTTGCATGTTGAATAAGTAGGGGTGATGAACTAACATCTTAAAAGCCACTATTTTGGAAAAAACAAAAAATAGCTGGAAAGCAGCAAGCAACTGGAGTTAATTTTTGCTAACAATGCAACTGCATAAAACCCTTGCACCTGTAATAGGACTGTTCTTCCAACGAAGGTTACTTATCAGGAATAATAACACATTTCTTCCAAATTCCTGCCTTTGATTTAAAACGGAACAACTACTTTCCCACTTATCTCTCTTGTACCAAGGTCCAAGACCATCAAGAAGAAAGGTGCAGGTAGGAAAAAGATGATCATATGTCATATTTTCCTGAAGGTATGGTTGTTTTAAACAACGTACTTCAAATCATCCTTACCCGACTATGCTGGAAGTGAGAACCCACACCAATTCCAGAAGGAGAGCCTGGAGAGGGAACTGGGGAGGAATTGGGAGAGGAATGGAGGTTCCCAGTCATTAATATGCCAATATCATTGTCCATATCATCTGGGAATGGAAGGTCAACAAACATATCATCTAGAGAGGAAGGAAAAAAAAGCACAAAAATTATAAAAATAATCCATACCTCTAACTTAACCAATATCATGTTTTGTTACCCTAGAGCTATTATGGACACATTCTATTAACAACTTAGTAGGATTCAGTGAGGGTCTACTGGGTACTGTCTATTCCTTCATTTTGTACCTTTTTTTTTGTTTTGTTTTTTTTGAGTTGGAGTCTCACTCTGTCGCCCAGACTGGAGTGCAGTGGCCGCTCCCGGCCACCGCAGCCTCGACCTACTGGGCTCCGGCAATCCTTCCACCTCAGCCTTCCGAGTAGCCAGAATTACAGGCGCGCGCTACCACGCCCGGCTAATTTTTTGATTTATTGTAGAGATGAGGTCTCGCCAAGTTGCCCAGGCAGGTCACGACATTTTGTACTCTTATCCAGAGATCTACTAACGTGAAGTATTAACAAAACAGAGAAATAAAGAACATAAAATAAAACCCCACACTCTGTATAGCTTCCAAAGGCATCTAAAAAGATGGTAAATGAGCTAAAGAAGCAATCTAATTATTAAACAAAGTTAAAGTTGACACCACACAAGACTACAGCAGACTCCATCTATGCACCCAATCTAAAATATTGAAGGCTGAATGAATGCATGCTAGTAGGTGTGAACTTGCCCTGAAACTGAAGGCCTATTCCAAAAGCAGATCAAAGCACAATGCTTTTTATTGAGAAATTCTCTCCCACATTATAAAAGTAAGGTGCATCCACAGCAGAACATTACAAATAATAGAAAACCAAATAAAACAAAGAAAACCAAATAAAAACAAATAAGGGAAAACCGTCACCCACAACCCAATCACCATAAACATTTTTGCCATGATTCTTCCATTTTCTCATATATTTCTTATCCCATTGTGATCATACAATACATAAGATTTGGCATCCTTTTCCCCCCTCTCAATTTACCATGAGCAAAAGTCATCAAAAACAATGCAAATGGATACATAACATTGAGCATTTTATAGTTAATAAATAACCATTTCTTAACAAAGGCCTTAACAAATATTCAAGCCAAAAATTCTATTAAGAATAATCAAATAAGGAAGCCAGGCATGGTGGCTCATGCCTGTAATCCCAGCACTTTGGGAGGCAAGAGGTAAGAAGAGTGCCTGAGCCCAGGGGTTCAAGACCAGCCTGGGCAACTTGGTGAGATCTTATCTCTACAATAAATCAAAAACATTAGCTGGGCATTGTGGCACATGCCTGTAGTCCCAGCTACTTGGACAGCCGAGGCAGAAGGATCACCTAAGCCTATCAGGCCAAGGCTGTGGTAGCCATGATGGTGCTGCTACACTCCAGCCTGGGTGACAGAGTTACAGTATAGTAAATTAGATTCCCAATGACTAGCTATCTTTTTAATGTTGCCTTCATACATTTCAAATCAGATCATCAAATATTTATTGAAAGAGTGGCACCGATGTGCAGAAAACTGCCAAGCAGATAATATTTTTGCCTTTAATGAAAATCAGAAGAAAATTAATTAGCCAAGAGAGGAAACTATTTATTTGATCTTGGTAATAGTGCAGACAAATTAAAGCTTCAAAACCAAAAAGATTCTCAAGCCTTCAATCCTCTCTTCACATTTCATGTGTTGTTTATTATGTAACAAAAAAACTCACAGCAGTCCAGTGACTCCATATTATAGCTCTATCCCATATGAAAGTGAGCTCTATCCATACAAGGTCTTCCACTCACCATTGTTGGGGCTAAACCCATCTTCATTGGGATAGTTGGCAGGAGCCACCTGGATGGTTGATGATGTTGGGAACACCAAGATGTGTGTACAAGAAGCATCTTGAGGGGTGTTGAGCTGAGATGACTGCATATTCAGCGCAGTACTTCGGCCAAAAACAGAGCCCATTGTGACAGCATCTTTAAAAAAACAAAACAAAACATATATATACACACACACACACACACACACACACACACACACACACACACTCCCCTTGTGTAGCAATGAATAACCCTGATAATGAGGTTTTTGGAGGGCCTGACCTGGAGCAGGAGTCTGATGCAAATGCCATGATGGATATACATGCAAAGTTGAGCCAAACGGTTTAAATATCTTCAAAGAAACGGACTCAGAGCCTATAGTTATGATAACCCAAGTCTCATTTCATACTGAAAAGGTTAAGATAAAATTGGATCAAGTCCACTGAATATGTTTTAATTACTTGTATAAAGAAGTATTTCTAAAAATAAGTTCTCCACTTTCTTTCCTTCTGTGGTTGTTCACAAAGTATAAAGTACTGTTCTCCTAAATGGTAACACTCTCATGGTCTTGGTACCATAAAACTACTAAACGTTATAACTCACACTTATTGAATGCTTACTATATGCCACCATTTGTGTTAAACTCTTAATTCATGCCATCTCATTCAATCATCACCACATCCCAAAGTAGGAAATATTAACCCCATTTATAGATGAGGACAGAAGCACAAAAAAGTTACATAATTGCCCAAGTGATGTAAGCAACAGGGATAACTTGTCACCTGTCTAATAAGGACATCTATTTCTCAGTGGATTTATGACAAGTAACCCCATTCTATACACTATTGAGTTTTACAAGGAGTAAGTGGACGGCCTCCTCCCATCTGATCAAAGGAATACCTGAATGGTAAAAACAGGTTTAAAAATTATAAAATCATGTAATTAATAAAATTGTAAAATAACTTAGTTGCTGGTTTTCAAAAGCCAGCTAGGTTTTCAAAAAATTAGTGATCACGTTTTAGCCATCCACAACTGATACCTGCATTCACTGAGAGCTTACTGTGTACCAGGCACTGTGGTAAATGCTTTATCCTTGTTTGCATCACCATTCATTCTCAACCAGAGAGACTCTAAACATAAATATCCTTTCAAGACTGCTTGGAGATTTTGTTAAATACCTGTCTGCAAAAGGATATTCAACTATGTAACATGCTAGTGTGTACTTTTTTTGTTTGTTTGAGTTGGAGTCTCACTCTGTCACCCAGACTGGAGTGCAGTGGCCGCTCCCAGTCACTGCAGCCTCGACCTGCTGGGCTCCAAAGATCCTTCCGCCTCAGCCTTCCAAGTAGCTGGAACTACAGGCGCACGCTACCATGCCCGGCTAATTTTTGATTTATTGCAGAGATGAGGTCTCGCCAAGTTGCCCAGGCGGGTCTCGAACCCGCGGGCTCAGGCAATCCACCACCTCAGCCTCCCAAAGGCATGGGATTACAGGCTGAGTCACCAAGCCTGGCTTGGTGTGTACTTTAATAGTTTATTTGGAGGGTGATCTTCATAAACTAACAATAAATTAGAGTCAGGTAACAATTATTAGCTATGACTCTAAGAGCTCTCAATCATATCCAGAACTTAGTCTCTCCCTCAAGCTATGGTCAGCAAAGATAATAAAATCACAAACCATTCCTCCTGGAAGGGATCAAATGTCTTCCACATTTGAGCCTAAAGTACAATCTTCTCTTACAGAGATATAATAAAAATATATTTGACACTTGTCTGTGAACTTAAGTTTGAGTGGACTAAACTGATGTGATATCTAATTAACAAAACTGACAAGAAGAAATTTACCTGGCATCACTACAAAGGACCCCTGTGGCTCCATGGCAACCAAGCAGGCACTAAGGATAGAAGGAGAGTCTGCGGCAGAGATTCCACACATCCGGCACACATCCTTGAGTTGTTTGCTGATTGTCTGTAGTGAACATTCTCCAAGGAGGATACTCCAATCTGAAATAAAATATTGTAGTCATACACAGTCTTTAGAAATTCATACTGATAGGAGGTTTGAGCTTTTTACCAGTTTTGCCTAGTAATTGAATTGCCATGATTGGACCCTAAAGGGAGTATGGTTTTATATAGGTTTTGCTCTTCGCTATAAAGACAATGCTACTTGACTTCTATTATACTTCATTAACAAAAAAACAAAAGCCTACTATCCTGTATGCCGAAGTCACATCTGAAGTGACCTTTGAGAGTCCAGCACAAACCTAGGAGGATTTTGGCACTTATACGGCTTTTCTATGATGATACCAGTGTTAGTTACTCTATCCTTTCTCCTCTGCCTTAAAGTCTGATTCTTTCACTGCCCCATCAGCACCTTTCTTTGGAAGAGAGCACACTTGAGGGGTGAGGGGGACGTATAAACAATTTTGTTTTACTGTTCTAGGTTGGTTGTTTCCATGAAAGGCAAGCAGCTGCAGAAATGAAGAAGAACCATTCCTAGAATGCTCCAAAGAACTCACAAGTGATGGGTGTAAGGGAAAGTGCTCCAAATGATGCTGCACTAAGCTGTACTTTTCAGATGGAAAAGTTGGCACAATTTTCTCTCTAATGTTTGTGTATTCCCTCTAAGCAAAAACACTATGTGTAAAGAGAGAACTGCTGAGGGTTACAGTACTCTGGAATGTGAAAAGCACTTGGTCCTTTCTTCTGACCTCCCTGACACATGTGAAATATTCACTATTCCTGTGCAGCATGCTACTGTCAGATTACAACCTGCTCATGAAATGTCACTCTATGCAGGCTTCTTTACCTCCACGTATTTTTTCAAAGAAGCTGTTTCTCCCCTTAAAGAGCAAGTGAATGAAAAAACATTTTCATATTCCTATGAACCTCAAATTGAAGTAGCTAAATTAAAAGTGGTCAGGAATATAAAGAACATATGTTTTAAAACCCTGGAAAATCAAACAGAGGTGAGTTCCATATTTCAAAACAAATAAGAAAGAAAAGGCTGTGTGAGTAATGCATCATAACCACTCTGGAAATAAACAGAAATTCACAAAGCCGCCTCTGACATCTAAAAGCTCCTGTCTCACACTGTCCCACAGAGATGCAATGTGGCACAGACCTTAAATCCCCAGAGGAAGGAGCTGGAGATTAGCAAACAGATTTCCTACACACTAAGTTCTTTTTTATTCCTGAAAGTACATTTTCTTTCCATCTTTTGAAGGGTCCTCTAGTCACACTTACCTTCCTCTCCTCTAAGAGATAAGGAAAAAGAGTGTGCCCCTTCTGAAAGTCATACAAGGGAAGGAAGATGGCCTTAATACTTTTCCAAAACACCGAGTGACTAGACTCCATTTTTATCCCCCTTCTCTTTCCTATTATAGTCTAACTCTCCCTTGGGGTTAAGAATAGCTCAAAGTCTTTAAGAAATAAGATTGACTAAAATGCAAACTAGGGAGGAAGATAAAAATTCTGACAGAAATGAAATGATGAATCCCCTAATGTATCAGACCTCCAGGCTCTTGATACAAGATTCATTATAAGTATGATACTCTTTAAAAAATGAAAAGGGTCATATTTTTTGCCAATCTACAGTATAACTTGTACTAAAAACTTTTGTGTGCAATAAATGCCTCAGAAACACTTATCAGATACATATCATATAATATTTTTCCAACTGCTGCTAAAACCTGAAAATTTGATACAGATCTAACTCGCATTGTAAGAAGTGAGATATAAACAGACACTTCCTACAATGCATGGTCTATCTGTACCAGTGACTTTATTTCAGGGATTCCGCAAACACCAGATATCAATATCCTATGAAGAAATAATTTACTATGAAATAATTTACAAGTTTTAATGCAGAAGTCAGCAAACTATAATTCACAGGCCAAATCCTACCTAACATCTATTTTTGTAAATAAAGTTTTATTAAAACACAGCCAACCCTCATTCATTTAGGTATTGTCTATGGCTGCTCTGACGTTACAATGGCAGTTAATAAGTACTTGCAGCAACAACCATCTGGCCTGCAAAGCTGAGAATATTCACAAAGAAACTTTGCTGACTCTGCTCTAATGTTTTTGCATGCAAGAAACCACCAAACTAATCTGTGATATAAGCCTTGCTTTTGTGCAGACCTTAGGAAAAAAAAGCTCCCATCTGTATACATATATTGAACTTCTCATAAATGCATCATTCATTAATAACGCTTAAAAAAAATCTAGGACTATTCATACTACTCTTTAAAAATGTACAAGCAGCTACACTTGGGTAGTAAATGAGCTGAGCTCTGTGCAAGGCCAGGCAGTTGCTAGTGGTCAATTGTGTTCTGCTACAGTTACTTTTAGTGCTTTCTGACTGGTATATTTATGATAAGGAGTATTAAGTACTGGTAGATGGGAATTCAACTTCAAAAATCTGCTTTTTCAAGCTTCTGCAATGAAGAACATCAGGCAGTGGCAATGTGAATAATAACTGCTTCTATTTGTAACTACTTGTCCTCACGAAACAGGATCTCCTTGCTAGTGTACTATCAAAACAAAATAAAAAAACACAAAATGTATCATCATCAAACACCAAACAAACAAATTGAAGGCAGTACTTATATGACTTCAACTATTACCTATAATCTCTGAAGTACAATTTTTGTCTTAAAACTGACTTGTTTTTGCCATTGCCTCAATATGTAAATAAAGGTTAGAAACTTGAATTTACTGAGTATCATCTTTATACTAATAAAATACTTTTTCTGTTTTATATAATGAGATTCAGTATTTTAGATTTTACTTAGATAAACGGTTCTGTTGCTAAAGAAAAGTTTAAAAACCACTGGTTGAGCCCAGGCTTGATGGCTCAGCCCGTAATCCCAGCACTTTAGGAGGCCAAGGCTGTGGACTGCCTGAGCCCGCGGGTTTGAGACCAGTCCAGGCAACTTGGCAAGACCTAGTCCCTACAATAAAATAAAAAAAAAAAATAGCCAGGTGTGGTAGCACATGCCTGTAGTTCTGGCTACTTGGAAGGCTGGGGTGGAAGGACCGCAGGAGCCCAGCAGGTCAATGCTAGGGTGGCCATGAGTGTGCCACTACACTCCAGCCTGGGCAACAGAGTAAGATTACAACTTAAAAAAACAAACGAACAAACAAAACAACAACAGCAAAAACCACAGGTTTATCCTATATATATATAAAAGAATCATAGCATAGTTGGGCGTGGTGGTTCAAGCCTGTAATCCTGGCACTTTGGGAGGCAGAGGCAAGAGGACTGCCTGAGCCTAGGGTTCCAGACCAACCTGGGCAAACTGACAAGACCTCAACTCTACAATAAGTTAAAAAATTAGCTGGATGTGGTGGCACATGCCTGTAGTTCCAGCTAAATGGAAGGCTGCGGTGGAAAGACTGCCTGAGCTCAGCAAGTCGAGGCTGTGGTGGCTGTGAGTGTGCCACTGCACTCCAGCCTGGGCAACAGAGTGAGACTCCATCTCAGAAAAAAAAAAATTCAGAAAATATAATCTTGGTGTTTAATTCTTACCACCAATTTAAAATTTTTCTTCCTTAGCTTAGTTAATGACATTAGCTCAGCCCCCTTCCTCTGTTTCCTGCACATACTGCTCTAGGAATTTCTCACCTTTAAGCTCCCCATGGCCAAGACGCCCAAGTCGCCCGATCACAACTCTCCAGGGTAGAGATGTCATTTGGACAATCCCTATGCACCATTCCCATAACTTCTGTAGTCCAATTTTACGAGCAGATACTTTACTCCTGCGTGACCTAAAAAAGAAAGAAATGGGGAAGGGATCCCTAGATGAATCAAAGTTATCACTTAATAAGACAAACACATGAAAATTCCAAAGAACTTATCCATGCTGTTCCCACTGTGTTTAGATAGAAAACTAGAACAACTCATAGTTGAGGAAAGGCATCAGCACCATTTCACATGCACCATAACATCAAGCCTTCTCACCTGTTTGGTAAAGCAATATTTACAACGCAGGTCTCTAACAATTCCCCATGGAGGTCAGTGCAGGAAGCCAAAAGCCAACGCTGGTCATGAGACAGACAATAGCCCACAAAGAGCACATTGTATTTCTGGCTTGCCTCACCAAACGTCTCTCCCAGCTCTGTCTGCTTGTCTTTGATGGGGGCCAATATAAACGGAGGGGAGTAAAGCTGAATTGGGCTGGGCCGCTGAAATCAAAATCAAAATCAAAATCACTATCAATACAAAGCCAACCAACTTAATGTCTACAACAAAACCCAGAACAACACCGAGGGGAACCAACAGTTTCTCGTGCTCTTTCTCTCCAGTACCGTTATATAAACGGTTATATTTAAATAATATAAGGCAATACTTACTTATTACAAAATGCACATGTATTTTTACCAAAAAACAGGTATAAGAATATTTACAACAGTATTAATCATAATAGCTCCAACTGAAAATAACCTGAATAACCAGCAACAGTAAAATGGACAATAAATTGTGATACGGTCATACGATAACAATATATATTCTTAACGTGTGTATACAGATACATATATAGTTTGTGTGTGTGTGTGTGTGTGTGTGTGTGTGTGTGTGTGTGTGTGTGTGTGTGTGTGATATACATATATTTATTTATTTACGTCGGTGTTTCACTCTGCCACCCTGGCTGGAGGGTAGCGGCACAAATACAGCTAACTGCAGCCTCGACTTGCTGAGCTCAGGCAGTCTTTCCACCGCAGCCTTTCATCAGGATTGCCTGAGTCTCAACCTCCTGGGCTCAGGCAATCCTTCTGCCTCAGTCTCCCCAGTAGCTGGGACTACAGGTGAATGCCACCAGACCTGACTAATTTTTTGATATTTTTGTAGAGACGAGGTCTTGCTGTGCTGCCCAGGCTGGTCTCAAAGTCCTAAGCTCAAACAATCCTCCTGCCTTGGCCTCCCAAAATCTAGTGTATAGGCTTGAGATAGTATGTCCAGCCTATACAATAAGAATTTTAAATGGAAAAGAGAATGAAAAAACGACAACTACAAGCACCAAAATGGATAATTCTCAATAATGAGTTTTAAAAAAATATATAAAATATAAGAATATAAACTATGTGATTCAACTTATATAAAAGTCAAAAACAGGCAAAACTACCTGGTTAGAAGTCAGAAGAGTGACTTTAGAGTCACGGGAAAGGGACATTCAAAGGGCCTCTGAATGCTAGTTGTTTTTATTTCTTGTGCTTGTTACGTGACATTTTTATTTACTGAAAACCCATCAAGTAGTACACTTATGAAAAATATTTTTCAGTATTTATACATTTCAACATGTGTGACCATGTTTGTATGTAATTTTAGAAATCAAAGCCCTAGCTGTCACCCAGGACAAATATTTTAGATAAATGGTGACAAAATGTAATTGTCACTTTTGTTTACAGCTATCATAAATATCTCAATACTCAATATACTACAACAAGGATCTCTAAACTTTTATGAAGGTCCAGAGAGTAAAGCTTATGAATCTCTGTCACTATGTAGTATCAGGCACAGTAATAACAAAATGACAGAATTTTAAATCTAAAGAGGCTTTGATGATATAGTCCATTTTCATTCATTCATTTTAGAGATTCAAAACACAGGTTGAAAGATATTCAGCGATGTGCTCAAAGCTGCAAAGGCAATCTGTCACTAATCCCATCACTTTCCACATAACCAGAAATTCCACTCCCATATATTTATCAAGAAAATTAAAAATATATGTCTAGACAAAAACTTTGTACTCAAATGTTCATAGCAGCACTATTCCCAATAGCCAAAAAATAAAAACAACCCAAATGTCCATCAGCTAACAAATGGATAAAGAAAATGTTAGTCTATCAATATAATGTAGTATTTATTTAGCCATCAAAAGAAATCAAGTACTGATACATGTTATAACATGGATGAACCTCAAAAATATAATGCCAAATGGAAGAAGCCAGACATAAAGAATAGCATATTATATGATTCTGGTTATATAAAATGTCCAGAATAGGCAACTCCATTGAGAGAGAAAGTAGATTAGTGGTTGCCAGGAGCTGGGGGAGGGCAAATTGAAGAGTGACTGCTAAAGAGTATAGACTGAGGGTTGATAAAATGTTCTAAAATTAGACAGTAGTGATATTTGTACAACTCAGAGAGTATACTAAAAATCATTAAAAATAATTTTAAAAGGCGAATTTTATGATATGTGAATTATATCTCTATAAAGCTGCTATTAAAAAGAGCCCAAGCGAGTTTGCCTGAAGTTTTGTGTAAAACAAAGGTTAAATGTCAAATATTTTAGATGCAAGAGTCTGTCTGTGATAAAATATGATTCCCAGATTGTGTTTTGGAAATGCTAGATATTCCATGAAAAACAAAAGTGATACTAGCAATTTAATTTCGTTGAAACTTGTGTGATAAATCACTAAGATACAGTATTATTTGAAAAATTGCTGGCATGAAACTGTGCCATCCCAGAGAATCAGAATTCCTTGAAAGCAGGTTCCTGGCTGTTTTGCTCACCACTGTGTCCTTTGACACCTAATATGGTAGTGGTACACAGCAGGTGCTCAACAATAGTTACTAAATGAAAACACAATGTTTGAGCTGCAACTAACTACTACCTTAAAGCAGATTAAAATGTGTAAACCTCAGCAAATATTTATAATATTTTGGTTCTTTTTCTTTTTTTTTCTTTTTGAGTTGGAGTCTTACTCTGTCACCCAGACTAGAATGCAGTGGCCACTCCCGGCCACCGCAGCCTCAACCTGCTGGGTTCTGGCGATCCTTCCGCCTCAGCCTTGCAAGTAGCTGGAACTACAGGTGCGCGCTACCATACCCAGCTAATTTTTGATTTATTGTAGAGATGAGGTCTCGCCAAGTTGCCCAGGCAGGTCTCAAACCCGCGGGCTCAGGCAATCCACTCACCTCAGCCTCCCAAGCGAGGGATTACAGCCTGAGCCACCGAGCCTGGCTTATTTTGCTTTTAGCAAAGTAATTTATTTCTCTCTTCCAAGCAAAAGGAGATAAAAACATATTACTCAAAGTTCTTTTGTCATTTATTTTATTCTAGTTCTTACTTTATCTTATGAGCTTCTGACGGTGTTCTGCCAGTAATATTTCAAAATGCTATATAATGGCTTCGGATATCTTAATAGTAATTAAGTAGTCCATCTTTAATCCCCACTATGCGTTTGAAACTACAATCACTTTTTACCAAAACATCAAGAAATAATTGCAGAATAATCACAAAGAGGTGAATAACTAAAGGAGTCTATATTTATAAAGAAAGGTAATAATTCAGAATTTCTAGAGACAAACTAAGAAACAGGTAGAGACATTTATTTTTTAAAATTCTAGGACAAGCTATTGGAGAAAATAGATGAATTGTTCACAAAAGTGAAAAATTCAAACTCAAAGAATAAACTAAATTAAAAGTGCAAAAAACAAATTTTATATAACACCAGCGTAAATCAGGTAGGTCATCAGCTGAGCAGCTTTCTGCTTTTGGACTAAGCTGACCTGAACCAAATTACAAGCATGGCATTTAATTACTTGTATCATTTTTTACTTCCAGGCTTTTACCATAAAGGAGATAAACATTTCATAGTTTTCCAGAAAAACCTGCATTATCAGCTAAGATCAGAATTTGGTGTTTTAAGTAGCTCTCTTATGATGAAGAGGTATTTGCTGCCATTTATTGCTGGGGTATTTTTTATGCAATGAAGTTTTTGAAAGCTTTGAAAATTCTAAACTTTGCCCTGTACATCAAAAAATAGCAAGCACTTGTTTGCTTTTCTCAAGAAAAAAAAATTTTTTTTTTTTGAATTGGAGTCTCACTCTGTCGCCCAAACTGGAGTGCAGTGGCTGCTTCCAGCCACCGCAGCCTCGACCTGCTGGGCTCCAGCAATCCTTCCGCCTCAGCCTTCCGAGTAGCCGGAATTACAGGTATGCACTACCATGCCCGGCTGATCTTTTGATTTATTGTAGAGATGAGGTCTTGCTGCCCAAGTCTCGAACCCGCGGGCTCAGGAAATCCACTCACTTCAGCCTCCCAAAGGTGCGGGATTACAGGCTGAGCCACCGAGCCCGGCTTCTCAAGAAATTTTAAAAGTTCAGAGAAGTGTCTTCTCCATTTTAAAGTAAAAAAACCTACTAATTTTTAAATAATGTAGAAGACTAACCAAGAAACCAATCAATCTCTGGGTTAGATAAAACAGTCTTCTGGCTTGCATTTAGTATAAATTTGTTTTGTTTTTTGCATGTTTCTACCTGCCAACACCCACCTCAGGGTTCTTGAGGGTCATCTCAATGCTGGCTGCAGGCCCAAATCCTGTGAGGGATTTAATGTGGATCTGTGTAGGCAGAGGTCGCCTGCACTGGCAGTACACTGAAAATGCCATGGACTTCAAGTATTGAATGTAGAAAACTTGTTCATCCTTCATTGTCTGCAGCATGTACTGGCAAGGCACAATCTAAAGACAAACACAAAACAAGCCTTCTAGAAACTGAGATCCAATATGCCAACAAGAAAGCTGGAAAATTAAACGGCATGAATTTCTTACTTGGATGGTGAGAGGGAACCTTAGTTTTAAAATATATAAATGCTAAACATAGTGTAATTAGATCCTAATTCCTTCCAGTGGCATAAAATGCTGTCCTAAGTGCACAGCAGCAATTTAAGACGTGCCATTATTATGTTGGTCAAGTTATACTGTCACTTAGAAATTACCCTGTTCTCATTTTAGAGGTAAATTCTCAATTTATTACAGGCATTACCATGGCCCCAAAATTCAAAGTCTTGCATTTTAATATACTTTTCACTTTCATAATGTACACACATAGTGTACATGGCTTCTTTAGAGCTAGTGTTTAATTATTGAAACACAAATGTCAAAACAATGAAAAACTACCTTTTCTGATAACTTTAATTGCATTTTCAATTCTACAAGATAGCTTTACTTAAAGTTACATTTTAAAAAAAGCCAAAGCATAATCTTTCACCTATACAATTTTTAAAAATCATTAAACTATAAAGCTGTCAAGGGTACAGTGAAAATAAGTATACTTATTCACTGTTGAAAGGAAAGTAAATAAGTATAACCCTTTCTGGAAAAGAATTTGACAATATTTCTCAGAATCTATGTTAAAAAATGACCTGACATGTGAAAAATGATTGCACATAAGCACATTAACTATGGCTTTATTTATAATAGTGACAAAGTGGGGACAAATTAAGTATCTATGAAGGAATGGCTAAAGATAAAAAATATGCAGTCATTAAAAATGTTGCTTGCGATAATTTCAAATAACACAGAAAACACTATGGTAAATAGAAAAGAATAAAAATTATTTTAAAAATATGATTTCAAGGCCGGGCTCAGTGGCTCAGTCTTTAATCTCAGCACTTTGGGAGGCCAAGGCAAGTGGATTGCCTGACTAGTCCAGGCAACTTGGTGAGGCCTCGTTTCTACAATAAAACAAAAATTAGTTGGGTGTGGTAGTGTGTGCCTGTAATTCCGGCCACTTGGAAGGCTGAGGTGGAAGGATCGTGGGACCGACACTGGGTGGCCATGAGAGTGCCACTGTACTCCCGGCCTGGCAACAGGGTGAGACTCCAAACCAAAAAAAAAAGTATGATTTTTAACTGTGTAAATCAACATACAGAAAAAAGGCTAGCCTGCAATTCTAGTACTTTGGGAGGTGGAGGCGAGAGGATTGCCTGAGCCCAGGGGTTTGAGACCAGCGTGGGCAACTTGGCGACACCTCCTCTCTTCAATAAATAAAAAAATTAGCCAGGCATGGTGGTATGCACATGTAGCTCCAGCTACTTGGAAGGCTGAGGCATAAGGATCACCTGAGTCCAGCAGGTCAAGGCTGCAGTAGGTATGAGAGTGCCACTGCACTTCAGCCTGGGCAACAGAGTGAGACTCCAACTTAAAAAAAAAAAGAATATGAAAAGGAAAAATGGCTAGAAATACACCAAAATGGTAATAATGGTTGACCCTAAAAGGTAGAATTATGAATATTTTTCTTTTAGATCTTCATGCACAAGTTGACCATCCCTCATCCAAAAATCTACAATCCAGAATTCTCCAAAATCCAAAACTTTTTTGAGTACCGACATGATGCCACAGTGGAAAATTTGACACATGGCCTCCTGTGACGAGCTGCAGTCAAAACTTTGTTGCAAGCAAAAAATTATTTAAAATATCGTATAAAATTACTTTCAGGCTATGTGTATAATATATACATGAAACATAAATTGTGTGTTTAGACTTGGGCCCCATTCCCAAGATATATATTTATGCATCTGTAAATATTCCAAAATCTGAAATCCCAAACACTCTGTTCTTAAGGATTTCAGACACAGAATAATTAATCTACTTCTAGTTAAAACAAAAACAAAATCATGTGTTCATCTGTATAACAACGAAAGTAAGGAATAAATTTTTAAATAGTAACCTGGAGAATGAAAGAATTTCTCATATGCTCAGGTAAATTATCCAGCATTTCTGTGTAGCAGCGCATCAAGCTCAACAGCCAAAAATTTCCAGAAGTGGAGTCCTCCTCTGCAGTGTAAGTAAATGGGTCCACCATGTAAATGACAACAGCTGGAGGATAGGCTTGGCTATCTGCAGAGTCGGGCTCTGTGGGAATTCCTATTCTCTCCCTTTCTGTAACACTGGAAAGAGAGTCACTTGTGAGATGCACAGAATAAATATAAATTACACAAACACCAAAAACAAATGTGCTCAATTGATAATAAATTAAATGTAACTATAATATGTATCCTATTATCAAAATAAAGGCAAAACAAGACAGATAGCATTGAGGGTATAGGTGGAAAATGGCAATACACTTCTCAAAATAGGAGCTCTGTTTTTCAACTCCTCTTTCTTTTCTGTGGTTATACTGCACAAAGACATAATAAGTTGATAGTAAGTTTACTAATAATACATTGAGTTTATAAGTTATATTAAGTTATAAGAAGTCTCAAATTTCCTAACACTGCAGCTTTACATAGAATCACGCAGTTGAGGGGAAGAGGGATACAGAAGAACAGAGAAGGGATCCACTGTGATTAATAAGTAACATACCTCTCTTGTCCATCCTGTGAGGGCTGAGAGGAGCTCTGCCCAGACTCAGTGTCTCCGCCACATCCTATGTTCCCTTGTGTTCTCTCTGTAGAACTGCCAGGGTTCTGCCCTCCAACACTACCACTAAATCCTGAAGAAGAGGTAGTGCTTATCTGGCTAATACTAGGAGCAGAGGCAGACGATGAGACCGGTGGCACAGAGGAACCAGACGTGGAACTACTTGCTGCAGGGTTGGTAGAACTACCATTAGAGGTGGGATTAAATGCACTGCCAGTTGGGGGAGCTGCTGATCCTGAATTTGGAGCTAAAGGCCCAGCATTCCCAGGTGTAGCTTGTCCCTGTGTTGCTGCTGGTGGGGTCTGGTATTTAGGTGGTATCAACAGGTTGCTATCGAGCTGCAGAGTGGCTAAATAAGGTGCTGAAAAGAGTACACGTAAAAAAGTGACTTTAGTGATGTTCTGCAGTGTCAGACTGAATCAGAAATTTAGAATAGGTCATTTGTAAAAAAATTATGCTTTCAGGCTGCAATTCTCTAATTATGATACCCAAAATACCACCTCCACATTTAGGCTTATATATTCTGTAAAAATGGAAATACACATGGAGCAACATATAAATTCTAGAAGAGGCTTATTTGAAGAGAAAGGGGAAATTAATCACTTGCAATATTCTGCTTTCAAACTGATCCCACATGCCTTCAGTGAAAAATGAGAAGCTGTACATGTCATAGACATCACAGTACATCACGGTCCTGTGTGTATACAGCTTTACAAGCTTCTAAGTAAAAGTAAGCAGTTATGACCGAGTCATGCTGCTAAATTTGCAAAGTGTGGAGTAAATCACATATAACTTCTTTAGGCAAATTTAAATAGTTTAAAAATATATGTTCACATAAATTAGTATTTAACTACCCAGAACACAAAAACTGGATCTTAATAAATACAGTAATGGAATGCCAACATTACATGAGCAAAAGAAATATAATGTTGCATCTGTAAAGAGGGAGCTGCAGGGGGTTTGCTATTTTACTTCTCAAATTCTACTTTGCCAAATAAATTCCCATTTACCTAGGTGATGGCGGCAAACTTGCGCATAAAGTTTGAGTCTGGAATGATTGTCGTTCTCCTCACCACTCCAAGGTTGGCTAAACCACTCACTCACAAGCTCATCTGTCAGCTTCTGTGCCATTGTCTTTCCCACGCGCATGATCCCATCACGTAGCACTTTGCAGATGGGCTTGTGCTGCCCAAGCCTACACATCTGACACCACAAACAAGATTATTATTCACACCAGGAGCCACTCCTTCATTCAGTAGTATGGTTAGCAAGGGAGATTCTTTCCCATAAACAGGGAAGCATTTTGCTTTCTCCTTTAGGATTATCACATGAAATCAAACCAACCATATGAGCTCGTACTTTCTGGTAATCATAATGTACCCCCAAATTGCTATCTGCCTCTCCAAAACCTGGGCTATGCTCTCTAGAGAAAAATTAATGTTTCTTTCCCCAAGTCAATGCTCCTGAACAAGGGGAGACTGCTGAATACTACCTGATTGCTAATGGACAAATAAAGAATTAACCAGATTCCTGCCTGCTAAGGCTGACTGGGACATATGTCCACTAAAACCTCTTAAGTAATCCCTACTCATAATGTTTTCCCATAAGATAACATTAAAATTTTATGGGCCATCTGTCATACTGTTACAGATATTTGGAGATTACTAATAGAAGGGGCTGCTGAAACAGTGAGTATGCAGATCACTTTTTAAAAATAAACAGTTGTTTTAGGACAATGAAATTCTGTTATCAATCTCTGGACACTAAATGGGTATTTGTGGCAGAGAATATAATATATCTGCAAAAAGTAAATTCCTGCTCACCAGCAGGAGAGCCATATTATTATTCCTTACTAGAGTCAATGAAGTTAAAGCTTACTAAGCCCTGACAAAATTCTCTAGTGCACATTCTGCTTAAGGAGGTATAAATTACTGCCCAATGAACAACCCTAGTAAAGTCATTAAGAAAAAATGAGTGTAGGCACCTTCTAAAAAGGCCTGGCAGTGCTTTTATGTTTTGTAACTTATGTTGAAGTCTGCATTCAAGAGAATGGCTGGACTTTAAAACTGCTTAGACAAGTTTTCTGTGTCAGGTTAATAATGGTCTAATGGTATTATGCATCCATGGACAAGACACTGTTCAGAAGTGAATACTTTAGTGGCTTAACTGATGCCATTCCATCAAATTAGTATCACCGAATTTCTTTGTAGCAACACATAAAGTTTATTATTCCAGGTTACCAATACACAGTGATAGTAAATATCTTTTTTGGAATATTCTGGAATTCAGCATGAAATCTAATGCTTATAACGTACCTGTCACTGTCCTTAACACTTTACAACACAAATACTAATTGCATATAATCTTGCCAAATACAAAGACATTAGAAGGATTAGGTACCAAAAAAATCCCCATGTACACATACTTTGGAAGAAGAAAGATGGCACTTACTTGTCAAAGTTAGACATGATTCTAATTTTTCAACATCAACAGAAATTCACATACTAAATATATAAAATTATCTGGTTTTTAAATTATTATGCTCATTACATTTTTCATCAGTACTGAAATGTCAGAATTAAGATTAATATATGTTAAAACACAAGAAGGGACAGGAATCATTAAACTTATCTTTTTGATTCAGAAACTTTCAAGCTAAACATGTTCATACTATTTTCAGGAACTCTTACTCCCCCACCCCAATGCTCCACCTAATAAATAAATAAAAAGAGATGTGTTCTTTTTGTAAAGCTCATTGACAAAGCTCATTGAGTTTCCCCTGGTGAGGTGTACTCTTAAACTTTAAACACATAAATGGGGGAAAGACCACTAATAGGATTTTAAGATGTGTGATAAGGAGGGGAGAGAAAAGTATTCCAAACCTAATAAAATATAAAACCAAGACAGGAAAACAATTTACTTCCAGAAAAACTTGCCAATTTAGTTCTTTTCTTCATCTTCCCTACTCCCAATTTTTTTTTTGAGACTTACTTTCAAGAAACTTATTCTTTGAAATTCAGTCATAACTAGAAACAATCAGAGAATTCATGTCATAAAAAACGATTTTCATAATAACTTTCTCACCTCATATACAGCACTCAAGTCCCTGAAGAAAGTTTTGGCTCCTTCGAGCAAGGCCTCATTTTCTGGACATACTACAATATAGGCAACATCACGGTGGCCCCCGTATGGGTCCAACAACAGCCTCTCCCAAAATGGCAAGGAGAATGGCGAGATGGTGAGGAAGTCCTTGTCATAGCCTACCAGCAGAGTGGGGATGGGCAATGGCTCAGGAGATTCTTCCGAACCTAAAAGAACATTATAGTTTAGGAAGGTGCTAAAGAGTCTTTCCTACAACCTGGATAATTTAGAAGTTCCTGGTGCACTGGTCTTTTCAACTCTGGCATCAGAAATGTCATTCAATGTTACCGTAACACTCTTTTTTATTTTAAAAATGTGGGGTACAATTCAAGATTAGGAATTCAAGTGGTCATCGTACAGGTAAAGCCTGGGCCTACTTTGGTCCCCACTTTGTCTGGTTTGAGATCAGGTCCCCCTATTGATGTTATGTTCACTCTTAATTATTTCTCAAATCATTTAAATGGCCTCTGATGAAGACCCTTAATTATACGAGCCAGAACTTGCCTATAATGGTTCAATAGGAAGATAAAGAGAGATTAGAGCAAGTTAAAATGTACTTTCCAAGCAGCACTATTTCCTCTCCTTGATGATAAGCATTATGATCCTGACTACAAAAAAGCAGACAGAACCAGCCCGGAAGTCCATCCCAATGAAAATACAATGAGAATTGGGAAGATGAGGAGAATCTAATAAGTGTACTTTTAGGGATTATTTTTCTCACTGTGTTGGATTATGGCAAGTGTGTTTAGAAAACTTGCCTCCAAAAGTAACTTTTGGAAAACAAAGAAATTATAAAACTTAGCAGTCATTGAAGAAAAATTCAATTTTGTCAGTGAAGCAAGGATTTGACAGTAACTAATGCTGCTCTTGATTGAAAAACTCTAACGTTAGGAGAAATTTAAACAGGGCAAAGACTCTACCGTAGGTTCCCCGTCCTGCCATTTTATGGAACTGCTGCCAGGTGAGTGGTCCCTGCACATGCTGAATGTTCTCCCAGGTCCTGCCCGTGCGCTTCTTTTGGATGGCATCTTGGAGAAAGGGCTGCAGAGACAACAGCATACGGACCACATCTTGGGAGGAGAGCATGCTGATGTCCAGCACTGGAAGACAAGCAAGAAGGAACAGAGGATCAAGGGGATTAGCAACCTCCTCTTGCTGTCAGCTTGGGCCTCAACTACAGTCCGTGATAAAAGATCCAATTAGCTGTAGTACACTCTAAGATACTCGACTTAAGAGACAGGAGGAAAGATACTCTTCTTCTAAATTAAATGACTGAAAATTTAGTATCAGCCGAGCTTGGTGGCTCAGGCTGTAATCCCACGCTTTGGGAGGCTGAGGTGAGTGGATTTGCCTGAGCCCGCAGGTTCGAGACCCGCCTGGGCAACTTGGCGAGACCATATTTCTACAATAAATCAAATAATCAGCCGGGTGTGGTAGCATGCTCCTGTAATTCCAGCTACTTGGAAGGCTGAGGCGGAAGGAACACCAGAACCCAGCAGGTCGAAGCTGCAGTGGCCGGGAGCAGCCACTGCACTCCAGTCTGGGAGACAGAGTGACATTCCAACTCAAAAAAAATTTTAATTTAAATTTAAATTAAAAAAAAAAAGAAAATTTAGTATCAAAAACAATGAAAGGGAAATAGGCTATTCAATGTTAAAAAGTTTAACTGAAGAATTGTTTAAAAGTGGAAAAATGGATAGGTCTGACTCTAAAACCACGTAAACCTATTTCCAAGGTTTTGCATAAGAGAGCTCCAAAGTTCCTTACTTTCTGTATTACTTTTATTTACAAATATCAATGTTTTGCTTATATGATGAGTAGAAAAAAAAGAAATTTAAATAGAAGCTTTTAAACACTTTTTAAAAGCTCTTGACTCAAGTATTTTCAAAAAATATGGAATGCATAACGAAAAAGGCAATCTTCAGTGCAGGCAGAGGCATACAGAAACATGGTAGAAACAACGACTGGATTAAGGTCATCTGTATATAGAAGGAAAGAAGGGGATTCAGTGTTTAAGATTAAATTTTCCCTCTGCTAGCAGTCACTTCAAGGAGAGGTTCTTAACCTGGAATGCAAAAGACCTCTGAAACTCTATGCAAAACTGTGTATGTATGGACATACACACATATTTTCCAAGATGGAGTGTCCATAATGCTCACCAGATTCTCAAAAAGGCTTGTGGAAAGAGCTACTTAATCTCAAATTGATGTGTTGTGAATCTGCACAGCCAGGATCCCGAAGATCTTGCTTGCTTCACTCCTACTCTTCTAGCTGATTAGGAAAGGGCATTGATAGAAATCTGGAACACATGGTGCTTAAGGGTTTTTAAGGTATTTCCAGATGTAGCACTAACTACTAAAATACAGGTTGCAAACTGGTGGTCCACATAGTATTTTGTTAAACTTTGGAATGAATTACTCTAGGAAATTTTATACACAAATCTGGATAACCAGGTTCTCTTGAAACTGAGAGACCTGAGACCCCTAGGGCCGAGATCCATAGTCCCCACAATCACCACTCAGCTCACTAGAGCTGAGGAGCAGCTGCTGCTTTCCGGCCCTTCCTGGCCTGAGACTGAAGCAGTGTTCATCACCTTTTATCTTCTAGTCTGTGCTTTTTTTTCATATAGTAAAGAAAAAAAGTTTAAGTACATCTAGTACACATGACTTTATCAAAAGTGGGAAATGACAGACCAAGGGAATAACAGATTTGAAAAACTAAAAGCAAGCATGTTTCTTGTGAACCCTATTCCTGTGCACACAAAACAGAAAGTAAGTTTTTTTGAAAGGATACAATTTAAGGCCTGCTTTTTGCAAATCTATCTCCCACCTTGTTCATTTACATTATACCTATCTGGTACTTTTGAGTATCTTAAAATTTGAAACCCAAGTCTCCCCTGCAATAAAATGTGCTATTCTTCATACTGAAAGAGGCACCACTGATCCACACACACAGATTGTTTTTCTGTCTGAAGGCCACTGCCTAGTAAAAGGAACCATCCAAGCTGATTATCCACATTTTATAAGGGAAAGGCTGCATTTTCTTCACTTCATAAATTCATTCAGTAGACTTTAATTAAGGGCCTACTAAGTATAAGGCACTGTACTTGAACCTAAGTAGTTATAAAAATGATTATAACTCTGTAACGCTTCCTTAGGAGTCTCTACCTCCATGAAGCCTTCCTTGCTTGATCTACGCGGAAAACACCCGTCACTACCTCCTCCACTGACCTCTGTCCTCTGGACATATTTTTTATTATTGTAGATTTCAAAGTGTATTTAAGAAGCTTATACAACCTTCTCCCTTTCAAGACTGAAAGTTGTTCAGGGCAGGGCTCATGCTTCATGTCACCCTTCCAGACTGGCCTCTATTCCCACCACTTTACAGAAACAGCTCTCACTAAGGTCAGAAGACATGTTTAATCTTTATCTTAAATCCTTATCTTAAAATCCAGAAAGTGTTTTAATGCTTTCTGATCAATTTCTCTTTCCTGAAACATGGGTTACCCCTGGCTTCAGAGACATGTTCTCTCTGTCTCCTTGACAGAATCATGTTTCTCTCTCTAGACTTTACCTGTAAGAATTCAGCAAAGCTCTGTCCTAGGCCCTCTTCTCACTCTATACTTCCTCCTCCTCCTCTTCTCCTCAGTGAGCTTATCTGCCGTGCTGCCCTGCTCACCCAATCCCACTAAAGTTATCATCAATATGCCAACTACTCCCTTTTCCCTAGGCTCCAGGCCCAAATGTCTACTCAATATCTTTACTTGGACATCTCAAAAGGGATCAAACTTCCAAAACTCAATTTCTGAACTTCCTCTCAGACCTGGTCTTCCTCCAGTATACCTATCTTTGGCCACTATCTAGCCAGGTATACAAGTTACACATCCAGGAATCTTCATTACCAGGACTCTAAAGCAAGTTATTGTTTCTTATTTAGTCTTCCTCAATAACTGCCTAGTTTCCCCAAATCCATTCCTGCCATTTTATAATCCACAACCCCCCCACTTTGGCCAGTGTACCTTGCTATTTTTTTTAACTACACAAATATGTCAATGTCTCTTCTTAAAATCCTTCAATGTTTATTGCTCTTTGGATGAAGACACAACTCCCAGCATGTCTCAAAAGGCTTGCTGTAATCTAGATCCTGCTGGCTCCTAACCTTCTTTCAGTTCCCTGAAGGTCCAAAGTTTCAAACAATTAAGGGGCCTCACACTTGCTACTCCTTCTATCTGGGATACCATGCCTTGCTCCCTGTCCTCCTAGCTCAGCTAACTTGTACCCGTCATTGAGATCGCACAGCAAGTTACTAGTTCTTCAAGGGAGCCTTCCCTAACCACCAACCTAGGGTGTTCACCTCTACCCCATGCTTTCATCACGCACAGAACGGTCTGTAATAATATGCTTACTTGTGTAATTATTTGGCTAATGTCCATTCCCAGAATCAATTACCAAGTCCACGAGGGTAAGTACCTTGTCTCTTTCAGTCACCATTTTATCCCCCATGATGCATCAGTGTAGACAGTGATTGAATGAGAAAAGGATATAGCAAGTTGCTTGGCACTCTTAGAGTCCAATTTCAAAAATGTCTGTCAACTGGAGTTTTTAATAATGCAGCCAGTGATGTGCCCCAGTAACCATAATGCAAAGTAAAATGTCATCATTGTTATAAGAGATTTAACACTTTGGGAAACCAGGAAAAGGAGAAGAGCCTCTGTAGGTGGGCAGAAGGCTTCATGAAGAGCTACCGTAGAAACTTGATCTTGAAGAATATGGATTTAAACATGCAAAGGTGTGTAAATGATCAGTCTGTATACTTCTGGTGACTCTGACACTCAGCAGTCACAGGTTTTCAACTGGGTTGCCTACTTATGAATTAATACAAAATAAAAATTTCAGAAAACAATTACTCTTCTCCAAAGGTGTTTCAATATTAAACATTCCCCTAGCCTTAAATTTAGGACAAAATCAATATAGCTCTCACTTTATTTCTTTTTTTCTTTTAAAGAAGTGAAATTAATTTTTTTTGGTCAAATAACAAAGTAAAGAAAGCTTTTAAGTTACAATCACACCAAGACACTTTTCAAAGTAAACCTGTATCCTAAGTCACCTACCATTGCTGTGAGGCCAGGAGTGCACAGTGGCACTTCTCACCAGAGCTTCATCCACTTTTCCACCAGTGGGGTTATCCACATACTGCCGCCCCTGCTCCAACGCATTAAAGCATTCCGTCCAGTAATCATTATTATCTGCTTGTACCCGGTCGTAACTCCAGCTTACACAGGGAAGAGTTTGGCGGTTATTAGAGGAAATGTAGTCCAGGAAACTCAGGGAAGCAAAAGGTTGTGTATGTTGATTCTGGAGGAGAAGGAGAAGGCTTATGGGTGGCTCCTGGGATTTCCTGGCACCCTCCACCTGAGGAAGGAAGGTGGTCTGACACATCATTAAGCGCCTCTCCGCAGCCTGACCAATATCAGAATTCTTCCCAAAAATATCCAACTCATCTTCAAGAAAGAGTCCCGAGTTGTAGCCAAGTTTGCGGTTCATAATCGCACTAAACCCACAGGTACAGCGGTACTGGTCTTCATTGGAGGAATCAGGGATGTAAAGCCCGACATCTGCCCCTTTGATGTTCATGTTGCAAGCACAGATGCAACAGCTGTCAAAGTTTCTGTCTTTAAAAATATTCATCACAGAATCTGAGAGAATCAGGGTGACATAGAGACTGTGGGCTTCAGGAATTGGCTGCATGGTGGCAGGTTCCACAGAGTTGAGGGGCCGCGTAGTCGAGGGGGTAGAGGCTGGTGACCCCTGATCAGTGCTGTCATACTTAACAGACCCTTGACCACTGGCAGTGCCCCCACCTCTGGGAGTTCTTGGGGTCCTGGGTGTTCGTGGTGTGGGGACAGAGAAGCGAGGAGTGGCTGGAGATGGAAGGACTCCTGCCCCACTGTTGCTGGCTGGGGCAGCACTATTCAGCGTAACAGGTGTGTTCATCTGCGGTGTGTTCAGATAGTCTGGATCTGCTAGGCTCCCAACACTAGGCACGTTGCTGCAGAAGGAAGACACCAAGTGAGAAAGGGTGGCACATCACAGATGCCAAAGTACACATACCACCACCCCAGCCACATACTGCACATTTCCTATCAATAATTTGTGTTATCACTTAGAATATTCAATTTTCTCTTTAAAATAAAAAAAAAGCATACAAAGACATCAGTGCAGTATGTAGAGGAGCAAGAAGTAAGGTATAAATAATTCAGCCGGACTTGGTGGCTCAGCCTGTAATCCCAGCACTTTGGGAGGTCAAGGCTAGTGGATTGCCTGAGCCCGTGGGTTCGAGGCCAGCCCAGGCAACATGGAGAGACCTCATCTCTACGATTAAAAACAAATTTTTGCCAAGCGTGGTAGCATGTGCCTGTAGTTCTGGCTACTTGGAAAGCTGAGGTGGAAGGATCACTGGAGCCCAGCAGGTGGACACTGGGGTAACAATGAGCATGCCACTGAATTCCAGCCTGGGCAATGGGGTGAGACTCCAACTCAAAAAAAAAAGAATAATTCAACGTAGCACTTTCCTTCTACTTATTTCGCATTTAAGTAATCCTCATCTTAACCTTTTGAGGAAATGTACTATTTTTACAAGAAAATATGACACTGGGTTTGGTCAATAAAATTTTGAAAACCTGTAACTTCACCAAATGAGTTCAGATGCTAAATTAGCTAGAGGACCACAAGACAAAATTCCCATCTAATCTGTAATTATGCTTTTGTCATTTTTTTAAAAACTGAATTTCTGCCAGTGTATTTGTTCTTTAAGGTTACAATCTATATGTAATAGCTAAAGTAGTTATAACCAAATACACATAAAAATTTAATATTTTTCTAATTTTCAAAATGCAGTCCTATCTAGGCTTGTACTTCATAGCGATAGGTGATCATGAAAGAATTCTATTTTAGGTAACCCATTTCAAGTGCTAGTCTATAATTAATAGAATTATTCCATATGCTGCTAAAAGGCCTTAGTATTAATTAGGTGGTTGTAGAGAAATACACATATTGTATCATAGTTTCCAGCTTATAACAGATTTCTGTGGGGTTGTCAGCACTTCCACTTCAGTTTTTATTTTTCAATATGTTGTGCATACCATATAGTGTAATTATTTTAATTCCCCAAGACTGATGGGGTTATTATCTATTTTCTCATAAGCAATGATTTCTTTTTGAAACAGCCAAACAGAAAACAACAGTGTCTGAAATATTCTACAGTTTTATTACTGTAAAAGATTTTCCTGATATACAGTGGGCTTTCCATATCCATGGGTTCCACATCCGCAGATTCAACTATCTACAGATTGAAATTATTTGGGAGGCTGGCTCACACCCATAATCCCAGGACTTTAGGAAGTCAAGGTAGGAGGACTGCTTGGGCCCAGGAGATCGAGACAAGCGTGGGTAACAAAATGAGACTCCCATCTCTACAAAAAATAGAAAAATTACCCAGGCATGGTGGTGCATGCCTGTAGTCCCAGCAACTTAGGGGACTGAGGCAGGAAGAACATTTGAGCCCAGTAGTTCGAGGCTGCAGTGAGCCATGATTATGCCACTGTAGTCCAACCTAGGGACCAGAGTGAAACCCTATCTCAAAATAAACAAATAAAATAACAGTACAACAATTTAAAAATACAAATAAAAACAATAAAGGGTAACAATGATTCACGTAGCATTTACATTGTAAAAAGTATTAGAAGTAACCTAGAGATAATTTTTTTTTTTTTTTAATCAGAGTCTCACTTTGTTGCCCAGGCTCGAGTGCAGTGGCACAAACTCACAGCCACCAAAGCCTCGACCTGCTGGGCTCAGGCAATCCTTCCATCTCAGCCTTCCAAGTAGCTGGAACTATAGGCATGAGCCCCCACGCCCAGCTAATTTTTTGACTTATTGTAGAGATGAGGTCTTGCCATATTGCCCAGACTGTCTTAAATCTGCCAGCTCAGGCAATCCTCTTGCCTCCGCCTCCCAAAGTGCTGGGATTACAAGAGTGAGCCACCACGCCTGGCCTTAGAGATGATTCAAAATATACAGGAAGATGTGTGTAGGTTATATGCAAATACTAGTCCATTTTATATGAGACTTGCTCATCTAAAGATTCAATGCCCCCAAAGACACTGAGGGACGACTGTACATTCTGTAGATGCACATGGAAAACAGCATACGAGCCCATTCTTTCTGCTAAGAAGGTATTCTTCCAAAGAATAGACTTTTAAAATTCTTAATATTATTTTATATGTATTAATACTGTACTTTAATGCTCCTCCAATAAACTACATATTCATTCACTTATAATGTCAAAGAATGTCTTAAAGAAATGTCCCTTCAAATAATTGTCCTGTAATTTTTAATTAACTATGTCTAAACAACCTGTCTGAAAATTCAAATCAGGCACTGCAAAGAAATTTTAAATCTGATGTACAGTGGTATCTTTTGGTACAGATAAAAAATGACACAGAAAACTTGACTGGCAATCACTGCTCTCTCAAAGACCAAAATAATAAGTGTGTAACAATGATCTTTACTCTAATTGGACTCCTTTCAAATTTTCCTGTTCAACAAAACCCTAAAATTACTATGCAGTTCAGATCAGAAAAGGAACTACAACTACTAACTGAAAACATAAATAATTAAATTACTCCCTAGGTAATAAGAATGGTTTCTCTAGTAGAGTAACCTGATTTCTCCCATTCAATAAAAATGAAATGAGTATCAGTGCTATGCTAGAAGCTAGTTATTCAAAAGAAAGTAAGAAAAAGAAAGCATAGCTCATAAGCAAGTATGGCAGACATTCAGCAGGTGATTTCAGGGATACTCCATATGACAAATGGAGAGTCCAGCGTGATGGAGATCAGAGACTACAGCAGGATTATAGTTAGTCTAGAACTGTACTGGTTAATAAGGTAGCTACTAGCCCCATGTGCTAAATATAAATTAACTGATGCAGAACTAAAAATTCAGTCTTGGTCTCACCAGTCACATTTTGAGTGGTCAACAGCTACAAAATAAGGCTGGTGGTTTCCATATTGGATAGTGCACATAAAAAACACCTCCTTCATCACAAAAAGTTCTATTAATAGTACCAGTCTTGAATACAAAGAATCTTTGGGATGCCAAATGGTAGAGACAGATCTAAACAATGTTCTGAACTATTTAAACCATCATACAGGAAAAGGTTGCATGTGACTTCTGGGGGGAACTTGTGTGTATGAAAGGCTCCTGAAGCTGCTGTGTCGTTTATTTGCAGCTGTGCGTGCTAACCTTATCCTCGTGTTCTAGTTGCGTTGTACCAGTATCTAATTCTGCAAGCTAGAATACAACCAGAGTACAGTAGCAGCACCCATTCCAGGCACTCAGAGTGCTTTTCAGCACAATATTGCTGGTGCATTACTTGCACAAACATTTGTTGTTGGAGTCTTTCAAAAAGTCCTGTGTGGGAGGCAGGGCAGGATTACTCCATTTTAAAGAGAAGACTCGGGTAAAAACCACCCTTTAAAGGCATTCACAGAAGTTTTAACAGGCAGGAACTTAAATCTTCTGACACTGTAGCTGTAGCTTCCTAAGTCTAGAGTTCTCTGGTACTTCTCTGGCACAGTTTTCCATTCTGACATTGACTTTACGTACACAAGCACTAAGCCTGGTAGTGACATTAAAATTTATTTCATCAGGATAGTTTTATGGAGATCACAAACATGCAGCCCACTTTGAAGTAGCTGCCAACATCTTTAAAGAAGAAAACATATAACAATGTAGATTTCCAGTCACTCTTAAAATCAGAAAGGTCTGACCACATTGAACCCACTCCTGCCTAACAAAAACTTTCTGAAATTGAATAGCAAATGTCTCTTTGATGGAGCACACACTAGACCTCAATTGCTCCTACTGGTACCCACAATGACACTGAGCATCAGAAAGTCTTTTCCTTTCACCCTTTCCATTTCAGCTATATATATATCTTGCCTGATTCTGACAGAAATCTGAGTTTGCAGCCTTCTATTTTATAGTATTTAAATCAGCTTATTAAATTACTCATCACAGGGAAAACTGACTCTACATCACTGGTATAAGCACTATTTTGGGGTTAGTATGAAATATTTTCAAGCTACTATAAACACCTTCTTTTCTTCCCGCCAAATCATAGCATCAGTCTGTTGCTGCTTTATTATACGACATGGGTCAGTAAGAGAGAAACTTCTTACCGCCACTACCCAAAGAACATTACCAACTCCAATCAAATGTTTGATTCTATGTAGACACTGATTGGGCATGAACACCATAGTTCTCTATACACATAAACTTAATCTAAGTACAGATGCTCCTTGACTTACAACAGGTTACATCGAAAAATCACCTTGTAAGTTGAAAATATCTTAAGTCAAAAATGCATTTAATATAACTAAACTACTGAACAACATAGCTTAGCATCACCTACCTTAAACATGCTCAGTTGGACAAAATCATTACAGTTGGGCAAAACCATCTAACTCAACAGTCAATTTTATAATAAAGAGTTGAATATCTCGGGTAATTTATTAAATACGTACTGAAAATGAAAAACCAAAATGGGCACTCGAAGTACAACTTCTACTGACTGTGTATTGCTTTCGCGTCATCATGAAGTTGGAAAATCCTAGATAAACTCACTGTAAGTCAGGGACCATCTGTAGATAAAGCTTCATTTAGAAGATAATGTATATTGTCACACAAAAACAAGAGCAGACAACAAAGGGAAGTTTCAAATGATTTGTTACTGTCATTATTCTCCACAAATGTTTAGTTAAAATAAAAATCACATCAAATATGACAAATAACTGACACAATTCCTGTACATACTTGTAGCCATCTCTAATGAAGGTGGCTGCAGGGGGCATAGGCAGTTGTTCAATTTTAGGAGGTACTGCCCACGAAGGCCGAAACAGACAGGCATCAGGTATCTTCAGAGGTAGCAAGCAATGGCTCGGCAACATCTTCAGTGGAGCAAACATGGAGGATCCCACGAAAGGCTGAAAGGATGAAACCTTGTGCACATATGAAAAGTCCTGTGACAACAAAGCAGGGTTGGTGTTAATGATGGCAAAATATTGAGGAATACCACAGTTGCATAATGTGATTTTAAAAAGTTAAAATAGCAACAAAAATGGTCATAATTCAATATTTACCTCATAAGATCATTAGAAAAATGCTAATGCAAAATTTTAAGTTAATAAAAAAGACACTATAATTAATATGTCAATGAGTATGTCTCATGCCACATTCAAAAGATTCTTAGAAACTTATGTATATATGTCACATAAACAACATCATTTAGAGAGGTATATATGAATCTACTTAGAAAGCACCCGGCCTTGGGAAAGTTAATATATTGACAATTACCTTTATTTCCTCTGGCTTAGGACTTCCTAATCCATCTTCAACTTCCATTTTAAATTCTGTGAGTTGTGTTGAAACCATACTGACCATAGGGCTCTCCATCATCCCTAATGCTGTCACTGTCTCTGAACTGATACCATCTTTATAATTCATCACAGGAGAAAATGCAGGATGCTGTTCCAAAGACGGAGGAGTGGGGAACATCCTTTGTAAGTCTGCAACTGCTAAAAATAAAAAATAAAAAAAAACTCTTTTAACAGGCAAGACTTCTAAAAAAGCCTAGTTCATAGCCAAGCGCCCTATTTGGCACACAGACAAAAAAAATCTTTTAACAGGTAGGACTTCTTAAAACATCCTAGTTCATAGCCAAGTATCCTATTTGGCACAAGAAATCATGTCATTAAATAGTTACATCAGTTACACAACAGAATATAAATAATAAAAGCCTCTAAGAAGATGGCCATCAGCAGAAAATTACCCTTTCGTGGAACCTTACCACTACCCTCTTGATGTTTTATGGTTTGGCTTTACATTAATTAAGTGAACCAAGTCTACATAACGTATTTCTTTCAACAACTGATTCCTTGAAAATCTAAGAAGATTAATTAAATAGAAACTAGGAGCAATTAGATAGAGTATGAAATATTATAAATAACTACCAGAATGGTGGTTTATATGCAGTAGCAAACTAGACAAATTTACTAACCTCACAGGTGCTTTTTTGGGGAAACAGTTTCATGCTCTCTTTCCAGACTGACACTAAGATGAAACTTCATAGCTTATTTTAAAAAATGTTTAGAACAGTGATTCTCAACTCTTTTTAAAAAATATCACTTTAACATACTTAAAGTAACCATTATCATTAACAGTGGCTCATCAAGGCACTGATTCCTAAAAGTAGGAACCTATGGGCAATGAAATGCAAACTGTGGATGTAAAATTTGGCCACTAGGGGGTGACATATGCAGCAAATTTGTTAACAAGTTTGGAGCAACAAGTTAAGTCACTGATTTGGAATTGCATTTAGCGCACCCATTTCCTACCTATTGCTCTTTCTAGCAACTTCAACACTTAAAGAGCAGTCTGAGCATGGTGGCTTACATCTGTAATTCCAGTACTTTGGGAGTTCAAGGCAAGAGGATCGCTTAAGGACAGGAGTCTGAAATCAGCCTGGGCAACATAGTAAGACCCTGTCTCTATTAAAAAGAAATTTTTTTTAAGTTAGTCAGGTATGGTGACTTGCACCTGTAGTCCTAGCAACTCATAGGAAGCTGAGGTGGGAGGATCACTTGAACTCAAGAGTTCGAGGCTGCAGTGAGCTATAATTACAACACTGTACCCCAGCCTAGGTGACAGAATAAATTCTGTCTCTAAAAACAAATAAGAAATAAAAATTTCAAAATAAACATTTAAACAGCAAACAGTAGCCACTATATAGACTAAGATCTGACTTGCAGCTGTCAATCAGAAATTCATACAGAACAACCATACCATATTCTGCCCTGGGCAGCAATGTAAGGCAGAGCTGGCTAAAGAAGACTCAGTGTGCTGGGGCCCACAGTCCACGTGCTGGGGCATAGGTCTGCTATGGTAGGGTTACTTCCTCCCTCGGGGCTTCAGTTTTTTTCATCTAACAGGGAAGGCTGGACTAGATATATAATTCTCAACAGGACTTCTTGCTTTTCCTTTGTTTGCAGGGAGAGGAAAGCCTTCTACTGCTTCAGCAATTAGAGGCAGAAAAAGAAGCGAGAACCACCGGGTTAGATTATCTTTTCTGTGTTTCTAAGTAAACTATTATATCACCATTACCCGCTCTTGGCCACAGGTGCTACTTATAAAATAAGGAGAGGGAGCGGCCAATCAGCAAGGCTTCTGATCCCAACTTTCACTTCCATTAGAGATGCTCCACTTCAATTTACTTTCTATAATAAGAGTCTGCATAGGATTTCATTAGACAAAATGACACCTCCTCCTACTTCTAAAACAAACAAACAAAAACCACTCCTAAAACCCCAAGATGATCTTCAAGGCATCTTCTAGCTATAAGACTATTCTATCCTTAAGGAACTTAATAATTTCTAAAACTAGGAATGCAAACTAAGTCAAACAAGAAACTACCAGGAAACCATTTGAGACACTATATAACTGATAAATTCTGAAGCAGAAAAACAGATCTTCAAATGCAGCAGCAGTCAGATCAGTAAGTTAAAACAAAATTTAAAAGCTGAGGATTTATACTTCATAACATCTTCGAAGTCACAGTCAGTGCCTTATAATCTTAAACATCAATGTAGATCTTTGGGAAATACAGAAATTGTATAAATTATCTTCAAGTTAAAATAGTGTGCTTAATCACAGTCTTTTACTTACACGTACTCTTACTAGGATACAAGATTTTACCAAAAAAACAGTTTCACTAAATTAGTTTTAAAATTTCTTCTATAATGTATATTAAAGGGATTTCCACTGTCCTAAAGCTACCTAACTTCTTTAATACTACTACCTAACACAGTCATGTATCTCAGTTTTCAAAGCCTCAGTCATCCTGTTAATTTTATCAAAGGTAAAACATCACCAAAAAAGCATAGACAAAATTCTACCAGTCAGATTTTCTTTAAAAGTGGTCTTCAGCAATCTTATTACCAGATCGTCTTAAGGAAAACTCTTAACTTCTCTAGCTTCAATTTCCTCATGTGTAAAAGAGGAAAAATATCTACCTCATATTTTTGTGCATATTAAATAAGATAATATATGTGTATAGTAAATTAGATAATGTATACCATACCTCTAGAAGAAGTCAGCATGAATTAGTCCTCCCCCCCAAATAGGGTTTGACTGGAAAAAGATGGAACTACTGTCAAGTTACAGAGAATTTCAGAAGAGATGACCCTTAAGAAGTTCTGAGAGGGTATTGGCCTCAAAGTAGGTAAGGCAGAAAGAAGACAGAGATACAGAGACACACTCCAAAACAGAAACATGGTTTGTCTGTTCAATTTTCTTCCTAGAAAATGCCTAAGACAAGGGTAGAACAGCTACCAGAAAGGACAGGTAAGCTGGCTGGCCCACAGTGCTCCCCTTACTTCCAACCTGCCTATCCTGCAAGGCCTACCACACTTCAGCTGGAGCTCTTAAGAACACCAACTCCTACTACCCAGTACTTCATGTATTCACATACAGGATGGAAATCCTCCTGCAGAGGTAGCATCATCACAGTATTCTCCCTTTCCCAAAATAACTAGCTGAGTCCCTTCCAAATTGTAAGTCCTTTTGGAGAATAATAAGAGGGGAGACCCAAAAAATCCCAGAATTTATTTATAAAAAATTGTGTACCCATTCTTGTATGTTTACACCTTCAAAGTGCTCTCCATTTGATGCAATAAACCTATTCAGAGTCCCTTTTCCACGGCTCAAAACCAGTTTTTGAATGCATCGATTTCGAAACCTTTTAGAGCTTCTGCCATTTTTGTTTCACCTCTTTCACATCAGTAAAATATTTCCCTTTAAGGACATTTTCATCCAGGGAAACAAACAACAAAAGTGACTCAGGGCAAGACCGGGTGAATAGGTAGGGCGGGGCACAGGGGTGCGTTTTTGGGTCAAAAACTGCTGAACACCCAGCACAGTGTGAGCAGGTTATTCATGTAAATCACCCATTGTGAAATGGGCAAACGCATTCAAAGACTCTCCCCCAGATAATTCACTGAAGCTGAATGTAGCCTCTTACAACAACACTAGCTGGTACACTGACGCCAATGGAGTCCTAGAACACTAACCTAGCAGGGGAAGCCTGTACTACAAAGGGGCCTGCGCCCACCTTCCTGCAAAAAATTGTTTTTTAGGGGTCCCCCATCATAAATGAAACCAATTAAAAAATCTAACCCTCATTTTGTCTATTGAAAGACTCACACTTCAAACTGACATGCTTTCAAAGACAAAAATTCATAAGTGATTAATCAAAAACCCAAGAAAAACACTTCTGTTTTATTCCTTTATTATAACATTATACTACCTAAATGAAACTTGATGCTAAACCAAACACATTTGTTACTGTGTACTGCTTTCTGCCATATTCCATAAACAAATGAATACTTATGAACCTATGCCTATGCTTTCCAGCACAGTATCCACCAGCCACAGGGAGCTACTGAGCACTCAGAATGGGGCATGGCCAGACGGAGACGGGCTGCATGTGTCAGACACTGGACTCCAATGACTTCAGACAAAAACAATGTAAAATATGGACAACTATTATCCATTTTGGTTTATTAAAAGAATGTAAAATATCAATACTTTTATACGAGTTACATATAAAACTTACAATATTTTGATTAAGTTAAATGAAATACTGTATGCCATTAAAATTAACTTCACATTTTTTCTCATCATGCTTTTTTCATCATCATTTCTTGTGAGGAAATATTGTATGTATAACCCCCCAACACATCCCACCCTCCCCAAAAATATATGTACTCTCATAATCACACATTTACATTCATGCCTTGTACACATTAAAAAGAGCATCTTGACTCCTGCACATCTGGATTTTCCTGGTGCCAATCTGTCTGTGCTGTATTTCAAATTCACTTGTTTTTATAATCTGTACCTTATCATAAAAGTTTGAATGACTTCTTTTAACACAATTCCTTTCTGAATAAAAATGAAAGGACTGAGTACACAATATACTTCACAGGGCAATGACACTAACTAGCAGGATGTTTGTGAAATAATAATCTTGGACAAATTACCAGACCTTTCACCATTTCACAGCGCTACGTATCACTACATGTCAAAAAGAGGCAAAGGATAAAACTGGTTCAAACAAGGGGGAAAATTCACTCATCTGATCTATTCTGTATGTATCTATTTTCCTGCTGTTTCCTTTAACTGTGAAGTTCTATGTTTGCAAAATTCTGCAGTATGGAATAATAAAAATAAGAAAAATGTTTAATTAAAAAAACTACGGCAACTGGCTGACTATCATTATTCATTTTCATCCATGTCATGCTTGAGAAAGCTTTGCATATTTTAAAAAGCTATGGATCCACTAAAGCTGTCAAAATCCAATCTCTGTATACTTCCCACTTCTACATTTGAGTAAATCAGCACTACATTTATAGGTTCATAAAACTTTTTGACTCATCCCTATGACATGGTGGTTTTTCCCCTCAATTTGTTCTCATTACCAGCTGAAGTTAATGAGAGATATTAAAGAATGATTTGCAATAGAATTATGTTTCTGCTTTAGAGTATCCACGTAAGCTACCCTAACTTTCTTTTCTTGTGCAGAATAATGTGGTTTCTTAAGGTAAAGAAAATACATTTTTTTAAAAGAAAGGCTTCTTCTCTTTTTGCCAGCATACATAATAAAGCTGGTAGAATTCAAAAGGAAACACAAAAACTTCAATATAAATCTTGAAAAAAGGATCCTGAAACAAATATTCAATATTCCTTGAGTGAATTAAATTTACAAAAATTGAAACACTTTACACAAGGTCTCATAGTAGAATATCACTCTGAAAATCACTTGGGCAGCACTTATTCTACTAAAAAAGGTCTATTAGAAAGACAAACCTAAAACACTTTCCCCCCTATTTTAAGCTATAAAAGTTAATTCTCAATTTGAAATCAAAGGAAAAGGAATTCAAATAAAGATGGTTTCTATGTATGATTAGCTACCTATCATCTCAGACATACCAACTGATATAAGTTTTAATTCATAGTTACAATTTTGTCAAAGGAAAAAAGAAGGAAGGAAATTTCAGATAAAGCACCACTGAGTACGAAAACAATATTACTAAGTCATAGGCAGTGAGCTGCAAAGACTCAGTCAATCCCTCTACTTACTCGGGGGGTAAGGAACAGCAGCTCTTCCATCCTTCCCAAGAGGTCGGTCTTCTGTACCAACTGTAGGCATTTTTGAGGAGCGCAGTGCAGGTGATACAGCCTGAGAACAGATTGCTATTATTAAAACAAAGTAATGTGTGTATATAAGCAGGAAGCAGTCAAATATTTCCTAATGTATGCCTCCTTACATAGCATCTACCAAGTGAACTTCTAGAAATACCAGCAGACAGTGAAACAAAGGAGATGACTACAAGTCCATCAGGTAAGAGAAACCAAGGTACAGTGTTTTTTTGCTTTTGTTTTTTTTTCATAAATCTTGTGATGGAAGATTACCTACAGCAATCCTTTCCTTCTAGGTCATTAGAAGAGTAGTTTCATGAACATGATGATTACATTAGTGTGGTGTTACCAGCAGTAACTGGAAATTAATCTGGTTCCCTCTGTTTGGAGGCAAGCAGGTGGCTAAAAGAGGTGACCCTCAAGTCCTCCCAAGTGATTTTTCAAAAAATTTTTTTACCTCAACAAACTGGGTATCTTCTGCACCTTCTTTGACAGTTACTATTCATCTTCACAAAAAAGCAACCTTATTTCATAAAATTATTAAAATATACACATAATATTTTTCTCTGATCTGTTACTCAAAACAAATCAAGTCCCTTACTAGGCAAGATTATCCTTAAGAGCAAATGAATTGGTGACAAAACTAAATAAAGCCTAAAAAAGAATTCTTACAAATAAACGGCCTTTTAGTTACTTATACAATATCATAGTTGATATGTTAAATTACATTTAAAAACACATGAGATGAAAACTTAGCCAGCAGGCTCCCAACTCCATTTACTAGTAAGATGGATTAGCAATAGATTCTAAGTTAAACTGCTCATGTGATTAAATACCAGAGTAGAAATCAGAGTAAAGTAGAAACACTCATTTCCAAGAAATGAAAATGTGATTTTAAAAAAAAATCCAATTCTCTTTTGCATATATTAACATTACCAAAGATATATTCCAAAAACTAAAACATTTCTTCATTAAGCCCAACAGTAACTTATAATTATACAGAGAATAAATTCAATGGGCCAGAGCAGTAACAACAATCACCAGGCATGGTGGCCACTTCTTACTGTTTGCTTTTTCCTTTTCTTTCTACTTCTTTGTGATTCCTTTTCTTTTCATTTTTTGTTCCCATCATCACTACCAAAGCACCTAGCCTAACCCTCAGGATCATTAAAACCAATCCCAGACTGTACTTGACTTTCTCTAGATAGTCAATTTCAAAAAGGACCTGCAATGCCTGGATCAGCAATAAAGAAACAAGTCATTTCTTCCACCAGAGTTTTTCACACTGCCATGTCCTTATCCTTCACAAAGCCACTGCATGAATTCAGAACCCAGAGTTAAACATTACCAGAAAGAGGATACATGTTTTCTGCATATCAAATTGATACAAGACAGCACTCACTTCTACCACTTCAGTCCTATACTCAGTAGGCCTCAAGAGAAACATATTATCAGTAAAGTGTGAAGTCCAAAGTTTTAAGCCTGGCCAAAACCTCCCTAGCATGATCAGTCTCTACTGACCATCAGAAAGCAGACCAATGGTCTGTTCATTATTCCTGAAAGCCCATATAGTTCATTTTGTTACTTAATCAAGGTTTGTTCTACACTTAAATCATATGATGCCTTGTATTATTTAACTTCTATGTAGATAAATTCTATTTCCCTATCATGATCCTAAGAAGTGCAGATCACACTTGTATATCTAATGTCTGACTTATTGGATGAATAAAAAGTTTATTTTTAAAATCTGATCTAAAGGAATTACATAATACATTTCTTACAGTCGCATGATATTTATAATAATTTACTTGTTAATTTAATTGAGTCAGAGTCTCACTCCAGCTAGCCCAGGCTCAAAGGCTCAAGTAATCTGTCCATCTCAGCCTCCCAAGTAGTTGGAGATACAGACACACACCACCACATCAGGCTTTTTTTTTTTTTTTTTTTTTAAGAGACAAGGTCTTGCTATGTTGCCCAGGCTGTTCTCAAACTCCTGGCCTCATAAGATCCTCCCACCTTGGCCTCCCAAAGTGCTGGGATTACAGGTGTGAGCCATCATTCCTGGCAGAAGAAGTTATTAAATGTCAAAGATTTTAATATTTACAATTGGGATAAAAAAAGTCCTCAACAAACAAAACCCCAGGGGTGTAAGGCACACTACCCAAATAATTACAAGAACCTTTTCAAAGTATACCTTTTTTTAAAAATGCAGAGTGACTGGACTCCAGTACACAAACATTTTTAAAGAACATTCAGAACTGGAAATAAGAGCCTCCAAATTTAGTAGACCAGACTATAAAGAAATACTAAAACAATAACATAAAGTTCTTTTCCATTTAGTGAAATTTCTGGATGTGTAGCTATGGCAGACTTACCCCAAGTTCGTCGTCATCAGAATTATCAAAGATGTTGTCTAAGTCATGCAGAGAAGGTGCCAAATCTGTCACCTGCGTGAGACTACTGGAGCCAGCTCTGCCAGCAGCATTATCCTGCCGGACATCTATAGGAAAAGAGGCAAAAGAAACAGAATGAGCAACTTTATCAAGCGAAAAGGAGTGAGGAGAGGACACGGATCTCAATGAATAAGACCTGCCTGTGAATTTTTCCCTATGGTTTTAGTTAAATTTAGAGACAATTATTTCCAAACATGTTTATCAGTTTTGAAAGGAACTGAAAAACTATGAATACTATATAAAGATGAGATCAAATTACTGGTATTATAGTAAGAAAATAATTTTAAATCAAGAAGTATCTCCCTTGCATTTTATTTTAGCAACAATCCAAGTGAGGCAAATAATCATTGTACACACCTGTTTTAGTAGCAGAACTGAAAATAGACATGGCATTTTTCCCATCAGGCACCGGCGTGGAATGACCTTGTGTAGTGACATCCTTGGTACCAAATCCATCCTCTGACTGTATAATAAATTCAGCCAAACAAAACACATGAACACCAACCCAAAGTGTGAAATATGAGGGAGAACACAAAGAATTAGAGGGTAGAATGGAACTTGTTATGAGCACAAGTATGATAAACCATGGTCTATGCAACCAAAGGAAATAAAAGATATGTCCTTTCTCTGGAATTTAAACAGAACCAAGAACTCCCCCACGTTCCTCTCAATCCCATAGGGTATTCTGAGTGAATCAGTGTTTTATGCCTAAATGGTACTGGTGGCATTTGATTACAGACCACCATGGTGTTATTAAAAGCTGCCTTTAATGATATTTTAGATGCTGAATTATAGATCAAACTTTCTGGATCTAGACAGATCTCTGTAAAGGAATCTAAAAAACATTCCCCTGAATTATACTGGCCTGTTATAATTGTCTTACTTTCTCTACTCTTAAGAATACCTCTTTTGATGGCCCAGTATTTTATAATGTCTTAAAATTGAAGGCTAAAGACAGCAGACACATCCAGTATTCGTGTTTATGACAATAAAACCAAATAGAATTAATACTAATAGTCTATAGGCAGTGTCGATATTAATCCAGAGAACACACAGGTACAGCGCTCAGCAAAGTAAGTATAATAAGCGCTCAATAAATAGTAGATAATGTTATCAACATTTTTTCCTTTATATTTTGGGTATTTTGGAATAATATTTAAAAAGAAATAAGCAGGGAGCATAGGCCAACAAGAATTAGCATATGAGAGAAAACATGCATTGTACAAGCTACAGCCTTGAAAATATGAGGCTTCATTTATGTTCGGCTGACTTTTAAACAAAGGTGAGCCATGACATAAAAAGGAACAATACGCTGTTCAATACAATAATACCAAGAGCATGAATATGGGGACAGAGCAATCAGGCAAGACTATCTCAAACATTCTGCCTCCAAAATCTTCCCACACATGTTGTACCGGCATAGATAGAAACCAACACCAAGCTAGACTCTATGTTAAATGGTACCTTATTCTTTTTCAAGGAATCTTTCTCCATCCCTTGTTTGCATTTCTTGTTGGCTGTAAAGATGTATTTTATGTCACCATCCTCAAAGGTATATGGGTCATTGACTTCTCCCAAACTGTCTCCAGGTTGTTGTGACAGAGGCAATGGATCAAGGAAGTGGAGCGGCTGCATCTGGGGCTGTTTGTCTTGCCAGATTTTAAACCGTTTGTTAGGCTGTGCTAAGAGTCTAAAAGGAAAAAAATGACAAAAAAGACAAACAAGGTAAAATTATTTTTAAAGAGCAGTATACTAAACCTTAGGAAAAAACTAAAAACATAACTATATAGTGATTTGCTTTTCAAAATTATATTCATAATTAAATAAAACCTAGTAGTCTGTGTAAAGAATATGTTTCTGTCTCTGATTCCATAGATTCCACTTAAGAGCATGAGTTCTCAGGACAGACTGCCTAGGTTCAAACTATTTGTACCATTTACTAACTGCATGACCCTAGTTTCTCAGATATAAAATTAACATAATAATATGGCTGTGGTGAAGATTAAATGAGACAATCTGTGTCAAGTGTTTAGAATAATGGGTGGCTCAAAAGTGCTATAAATATTATTACTAGACACATGATATATACCCAAAGCATGCAAAGTCTTCCTTAAAAGTGTTAATATACAAAGAAGGCACTGACCGCAGTATGGAAAGTCTCATAAAACTATATTCTTTAACTAACAAACACCAGGCCAAAAATAAATTAATATTAAAATGGCACAAAGAGACCTTACATGTCAGTGTGCTTAAATGATGTGTGCTAAACTTCATGTAGGACAAAGCATTTTATCTGTAAACTTGTATATGCAGAATCTAGAATGACAAAAAAAGTCTGCTTTCATTTTGGATCTGAACGTTTAGTAGGAAGAGATGAGGAGAGAGTGCATGCCCTTTCCGTGGGTGATAGGTGGGTGGTATGGAGAGGGGCCTTACCTTTGCAATGCAGTGCTCTCTGAGTTTACCTCCATTTTGGCATCACATCTCTCACCCTGGAGCTCTGGAGGCCTGAACTCAGCATCATCATTGGGTGGGAGACGGTAACTATGCCACCACTTATCTGATGACTCCGGGTTCAAGGGCCTAATCCCACAATATAAGGCTGTCTCGCTGACCTCTGCCATCAGAGGCAGTCTTTGGCCTACGAGGACAGTTCTGTCATCCAGAGTAGATAACTGCTGGAGTTCTAGCCCATTTCCATAGAGGGCTGGATTCACAGGGACAGATGGTGGGTCCAAACTCTCTGTTTCCTGACCTCGTGGCTGAGGGCTGAGTGTTGGTGGCAGAGGGGAAATCGGGGAATGAGGTGAATCCATAGGATTCAGATTCATTTGCTTGCTTGTATTTCTGGAAGGCACAGCCATTTGCTTATCATACTTCCTATTGCTAGACACCTCCAAGGAGGAGTCTATCCCTGCCAACCCTAGCTTCTGTCCTGGTGTATCTTGTTCCATGCATAACTCTTCGGCCACAGAAGGCCTATGATGAAACGGTATCAAGGGTCTCTTTTGCAACTTGTCTCCTTTTTCCTGCCTTTCTGTTGTTTTGTGCTTAGAAGAAGCAGGAGGTGGTAAAGATGAAGATGTCACAGGTCCTGCACTGAAGCCTGGTTGAGATATTGTGGGAGGTCGATTGGGTCCTACTACACAACGTTTTAAAAGTTTATGTCTGAAATGAGAGTTAAAATGAAATCAACAAATAAAATGACCTGCATCATTATATTACAAAAGACGTGTCTTGACAAGATTATGCCTTTTAAAGCACATATTACATGCACCAATACATCTAAAAGTGCTCTAGGTTTTAATTATATTTATAATGATTAAAAATGTCATACACTCTTATGGAAAAAAAAGAATCACATACAAATTAAGCAGATAAGAAACTGAACAATAAATGTATATACTGCTAACTCCTACAAACTATTGATTTGAAAACACTCCAAATTTTTTCAATTTGGTGAGGGCTGCAGATAACCTATTTATATACGCATCCTAAAACTATAAAAGAAGAGTCATGAGATCGTCTGCCAAGAAAAAACAAAAAATTTCCAATTTCTGCTTTACAATATTCAATAACACTAATACAAAATGGCTTATAATGGATTGTACTGTTGTAAGTTGGGAATAAAATAACTAGGCAACTCTCCCTCAAAGTATGAAACTAAAATAATGAGGATCAACACTAAGAACATTTTTAATGGGATAAATATACTAGAAACCTGATATGCTATTATATCTAGGGAAGAAGGGATAAAAGACAACTTTGTAATTTACAGATACATATTAAAATGAGACAGAAGTAAAAAGATGAGTGAACATTAAAACCACACACATACACAAATGCACCTGAATCATCTAAGCAAAAACACCAGGTCTGCTCATATCCTAACATACTTCTTGGCAAGCACAGGTGTGAGAAATGGCTCAGTAAGGGCCCACTAGATGATGCCATGGTTTAATCTGTACAACCAAGTTATATAGCAGGTCAGCCAGTTCCTCCCAATATATAAATCATTCCCAAGGAAAAATGTGCTCTCCTGCCGGTATAGTAGTAACTCTTTGAGGCCACTAGGGTGGCATTAAATTACTGCTGCATTGCACTAAATAATGCCCTAGTGGGCAGTAAAACGGATTTGTGTGGCGTAATGGGATGGTACAGTGGGACACCAGGATGGCTGTCCTGCTCCATAAGGCAATTAAATAGTGGGAGGAGTGGACCATTCCATAATGGATTTGTTAATCCTCCAGCAGATAATCTGAAAACATTCTTGCCAAAGTCTTTGCTACCCTAAAAATATAAAACAAAAATTTCCAAACTTCTTGCCTTTAAACCCAAGGGGCAAGGAACTACAGTAACATGTGAACGTATCACTGAAAAATGTCTTAATTAAATCTCCTAAAGATGCTTATTCTAGAACCTAGAATCTTAAAATCTTCTACATAAGACTTTCTAATTTGGAATTTCTCAGAGTGTATTTAATACACAAAGTCCTTTGGTAGATATTTTATGATATCCACTTTAAAGTAAGGATTTTTTTTTTTTTTTTTACAAAGTAGATAATCTTATTAAGTTTCTTCAACTGTATTTAATGACTTGCTGTATTGCAAAATGGTTATAATTAGGGATGTACCAGTAGGTAAGAGACTGTCATGGCAAATTTCTAAGCAGGAAAGGAACCTGACAGAAGCAGACAGCAGGTAGATAAGGGTAAGAAAGCATACTACACAGGTGACTTGATGATAGAAATCTGAGGCAGGACCAAACAGTACAGAAATAAATGGAGACTAAAAGAATGAGGAAAAGAGAAAAACTACAATGGACATTTCAAATGATGTCACTGTGAAATCCAGTGACTAGAGTTGAACATGAAGATAAATAAACAAATGGTCAGATTTCTAGGCCAAGAAGGGAAAACTGTGATTAAAATGACTGCAATAGGGGACCTGATTTTTGGAAAAACACATGTCAACATTAAGAATATTTCTTAAAGACACACTAAAAAATATAAGACTATGTGAAAGTATGGATAAAAGTTTAGAAGCCAATACAGTGGTGTCCTGGTATATATACAACTATAAAAAAGACCTGAGGGTATAAGAATTTGGCAAGGAAATAGAGCAATAGTTCCAGAAAACAAAAAGAAAAAAGCATTATTTGCTTATTTATACTTAAAGTGTTACAAAAATAATTCCTAATAAAAATGTTATATAAATCAGTAAAAAGGTTACTTTTTAAAAGTGAAAAAATCTGGGTTAAGGAAAAGAGCAGGAAAATTAGATGAAGGCACAAGTTAAATACACTATGATTTATATCCATTGATATGCTAAAGGTGGATTGTAACTTGGCTATATGCTGTCTATAAATCAATTTAATGGCTAAATACTTTTTGTCATACAATTCACAACAACCTAGAGACAAAAGTAAAGCAGGTTAACAAAAGTAGAGACAAAAGTAAAGGGCAAACGAGGTGAAATAATCTCCAAAAAAAATTCACTAAAGCCTAACATAGCCACTAACAACATTGCTAGCTGGTACACTGATGCCCACGGGTTCCTACAAAATTTACCCAGCAGGGGAGGCCTGTACTACAAAGGGATCACCCTCCAAAAAATAATTCTGGACATTTTGGGGTCTCCCCCCATATCTCTACTCAATTAAAATTAACAGTGGTTAAATAAAGTCACTTAAAAGGCTAGGGACTGTCTTTTCAAACTGATGCCTTTAGGTTTGAAGTAGTTAACCAGAAAAAATGTGTGGGAGCAATTTGTTAACAGGGTCAGTTGTCCATAAGTTCTTTCTGAGTCCTGACAATAAAAACATATCATCTACATAGAAAAAAAAAATGACATTTTTTTCTTCTCACTGGACAAGGAAGGTAATTCAAAACAAAGCAAAAAGACAGGGAAGAACTAGTCAATAAGGCCAGGAGATGAGCCAACAAAATGTGCCATCCTTCTATCTGACTACTATTTTGCCTTTTTTACTACTTACCTGGAACAAGAACAGCTGACTCTTTGGGTTGGATCCACAAAATCCCAAGTAGCAGGATTGTTAGCAGGCTCTTCTTCAAGAGTTGGAGTTGACATTTGGCTCCTCCTAAAAAGGACAAAAATGTGATTTATATGTGAACATAATACCCATTAAGGAGAAAAATGTTAAAAAGGGTTGAAAACATCTTTCATGGCAATGGTATCCTGCTGACATACAGTGCAGAACAACCAGAGGAAAAAAATTACTTGTTCTATGCAGTAGAAGCAGGATTCAAACTATTTCTGCTTAGGCCTAATAAACATTTTAACATGGGTAGTGTATACAATTAGTAATTAAACGATATCTAGCACTATAGGTTGTCACTTTTAAAAACAAATCACCCCTCTGATAGATTGTGTAAATCACTCTCAAAGCTTCTATAGATTATCTTCAGTCTGAAACAGAAAATGCTCCTAAATCCAAAACTTTTAGCACACCACCATGATGCCACAAATATAACATTTTACATCTGACCTCATGTGGCAGCTCATAGTCAAAACATATGTGCACAACATAGTTTATGCAGCTTCTCCAAAGGGATTACAATACAGTACACAGTAACTTTTAAACTGAAACACAGCATTATAGGTGGAGACTGGTAACCTGCTGCTGTTTGCTGCTTGTCTAACAGTTGATACAGAATTTCTGATGATGCTACTCTTCTGCTTAGTTACTCTGAACACATTATTTTTATATGGTATTAATGGAATGTCATATTTTTAACTGTTAAGAACTTACTATGTAAGTGTTAAAAAATGACTGCTTATCAGTAGCATATAAATTCAGAGTCAGGAATGATGGTGATGCCAAACAACCAGACTGACCACACAGGTGGCTGAGATAGTGACACCTTTATTTTCTGATGGTTCAATGTATACCAACTTTGCTTCATGCACAAAATTATTTAAAATATTGTATAAAATTACCTTCAGGGTAGGTGTACACAAAACATAAATAGATTTTGTGTTTGCACTTGCACCTCGCCCCCAAGATATCTCATCTATATGCAAATATCCAAAATCCAAAAAAATCTAAAATACCAAACACTTCTGGTCCCAGCCATTCCAGATAAGGAGTACTTAACCTGTACAATATTTACAAGCATTTAAGGGCAGCACTTTTATGTTTTTTTTTTTAAAGAGTTATGACTTTTAATGTGAACTAAAAACAGAAAGCAAAAATATTTCCTACTTGTCACTGACAAGCAATAGCAAAGAGTCAATCGTTTTGATTATATAATTAAAATAAGAACGTGGGGAAGTATATTTGAATTGCTGATTTCGCTACAAAAGTCTGCAAGTGCTTCAATGGTGGCACTACAGGCAGACCTCTTGCTGTCTGCTCTCCTCTGCCCTACGGAATGTTTCACCTCCCTGTCCTGTGCTGCTGATAGAGGGGCTAAGATCTGTTAGAGTTGTAGAAAGGTAAGGTTTGCCGGGCTTGGTGGCTCAGCCTGTAATCCCGTGCTTTGGGAGGCTGAGGTGAGTGAATTGCCTGAGTCCGCGGGTTCAAGACCCGCCTGGGC